CTAAGATGAATTCAGGAACACTTCCGCAATGAGGAAAGGCTGAGAAAGACGGGACTGTCTAGGCTAGACAAGGCTCCAGGGGAAATCTTATCAATATATATAAATAACTGAAGAAAGGATGTGAAGATGGAGCCAGGCTGACTTCAGTGGTGCCCATTGACAAGAAAAGAAGCAGTGAGTACAAACTGGAATACAGGAGTCTCCATCTGAATATCAGGTAGCTTTTGTATCGTACGGTTGACTGAGCGCTGGCACAGTCTGCCTAGAGAGTTTGTTAAATCGCCTCTTTGTAGATATTCAGAAGCTCTCTGGATACGGTCCTGGGCAACTTGCTCTGAACAGCCCTGCTTGAATTGGGTGTTTGGACAGATGACCTCCAGAGGCCCCTTCCAACCTCAACCATTCTGTGACTCTGTGAGATCACAACAGGCTGGAGAATATAGGATTAACCATGTGGGGTTTGTATTTTACCTTGTGGTAAAGCTCCGGAGCAATTCTCATATATAAATTCATATCAAGCTCGTTATGGTATGTGATAAAAGGTCTTGCCATGGCTCCACCTGGAATTATATTCATCATAGGAGTTTCAATCTGTAAAATAGTAACAAAATAACAGAATTTAACATTGACATAAGTATTTCCAGGCTCCTCCTCAATACCTACCGTGCTTTCATCCTTTGAGTATTTCTGTTTCCACAGCAGAACTCCGTAAAACAAGAAAGCCAACCAACCACAGCTAGCCCTGATGAAAAAATCTCTGCATTTCATTTAGTCTTTGACATTCCAGCATATGAAAACAATTCTGTAGTAAAGGCCATTTCTCCCATGAAGTCAATAATAATACAAAGAATATACACTATCAACTACGAGAGAAAGAGACTTACATGTAAGTTCAACATCAAATTCAGGGAAAGAAGAACCTGACAGGCAAGTAAGAAAATAAAGATGACCTTTGTAAAAATGGAATGACAGAATGTAAAAATGGAATGACAGAATGATTTACAAATCAAACCTCAGCCCCGTACTCAGAGTACAGGTGAAAGTGGCAAAACAATACAAGCAGCTGCTCCTTTATAAGTCTGCCCAAGTGATAAGAATGATTTTCTAATTGATTCTGTGGGAGATACGCTATTTAATCTGCTGTGCTGACCTACAGGCTTGGCCTACACATCAGCATAAAGAACTTCAGGATGCCAGCTATATCCTCATACCTCACTACCAACAAGAATTAATCTCCTGTTAATAACCTCAAATCATGAAAACAAGTATTTCATAATTCACGACAGAACTGTTTATAGCAGTGCAGAAGAGGAACTACAGCGAGACTCAGGGCTTCTGGGAAAGAACAAAGATCAGGGCAAAACCAGAAGTTGACGTGTGATAACGACAGAACAAGAATGCAGCTAGAACTTGAAAAAGAGGAGGAACATCCTAAAATATGTATTAATATAGGTCTCTAAGTATTTTGGGTTTCTCCAAACACATCTGCACTATATATCAGACTGAGCTTCAGAGAACGGAAAGCAGTGAGCATGCCAGACAGTACCGGAATCAGAAATGCAGTTTAACTTTGGAGCATTGAACTGACTGCAAACAAGCCCTGACAGTAACCTGAAGAGCACAGTACAATACCTATGACAGTTCGGATGTATTTTTCTCAAAACCAAGTGAGTATCTGCCCGTGGTATGACACTACATCATGCCATATGGACACTAATGACTCAGCATTGACTCATGCATCTTTAGATTGCTGACGATTCCCTGACTCCTCTGCCTTTTATTTTGTTCATGTATTTACACTTCACATAAATTGAGAAGGACTCTCATGGTTCTCTTTCATCAAATTATTGTCAAAATAGTATAATTTGTAAGTACTAGATTAAAAGCAAAAAAAATAAAAATTAAAAAAAAATCAAAGAAAGATTTTAAAGCCTTTACATGGCAAGACAGAGATGACACAGCACAGGTTCAGACTGCTTCATCCTTCCTCTGCTCTCAAAAAACTCCAGTGGCAGATTTTGCAGATTTGGCTGATAAACTCTTAATGGAACTATATTATGTCAAAATGCCATTGCAAAGATGTCAGTTCTACCTTATACTACTGAAATAAGGAAAAGACAACAGCAGTTTGAAGTACTACCTTCATAAATGTTTTCTGAATCACAGGCTACCAACTGAGCAATAGTCTTAACTTTAAAAAGAGGGAAAATAAAACAGCTCCTGTTACATGAAACTGATAAACATACTGTGTTGAGGTAATTGCTCTCACTCTATAAATATTTCGCATGTGAGCCTGAATATACAGTATCCCTGAAGCTGAGAAGCCCCAAACACATTGAATATGCAGACAGAAATAAACAATAAAGCCTTACCTCTAAGAAGCCCAATTCATCTAGAAAGCTCCGGATATATGTCACAATCTTTGCACGGGTTATAAATTTTTGCCTCACATAATCATTAAGAATTAAATCCAAGTATCTCTGACGATACCTAGTTTCCTGAAAAGAACAAATATTTTTAGAACAAGCTAGTCAAAATGTACTGCCAAAGAAAAAAAGTACCAAAACAAGATGAATGGCTCTTTGTTCACTGATACCATCAGCAGATCTGAACGGATGACCTTTTATAACTACCTGTCAAATCACCTCCAAGAGTCACAGGTACGGCAGGTACCTTACCTTATCTTTAAGGCCAAAGTGAAGATGAGGCAACATGTGCAGGCATGGAGATAACAGAGTTATTTCGTAAGGAATAATACTCAGTTCCCCTTTCTTTGTTTTCCCAGGATTTCCTTCTACACCAATTATGTCCCCACGACGCAGCTTGTTGTTAATACAGAAATATTCTTCCTCAGATTTGTAAAGTCTGTAATTACAAAAAAAAAAAAAAAAAAAAAAAAAAAAAAGTAAGTAGTTTTGCTTGAAGTTCAACATTCCAACTGTCCTGCAAGTCTCTCCTCAGGCCAAATTCTTAAAAACAAGAATTCTTCTAATAAGGAAGCCATACATAACAGCCTAAGCAAAACACTACCTGCCTACCTAAGACAATCCCTAGCTGAACAGCTTAGCTCAGGCGATGCCCAAATCCAAACTGGATGCCCAAATACACATTTCTAAGTCCTAGAGAACAGTTCAATTTAGAATGCTACTGTGAATATTTCTACTTACCTGGAATTTGCCATGACCTGCAACTTGACTCCTTCACCACGAAGATCATAGAAAATCAGTTTCCCTCCAGAGGCACGCTTTGCGTGGATTCGACCTGAACACCAAAAGCATGCAGAACACTGAGAAACATGTCCCTAACAGAAGGACACAAGGGCAAAAGCTACAATATTACCACCAACCATAAAAAAGACCGTCAGTTCTGAACTGATCACTAAATGTGGAAGAGAAGCAGTTAAAATCTTAAAACTAACATGACTACAGAAAAGTTCACGTGAGCTTTGAGTCCTGAAGCCAAAATCACAATCTAATGTTATACTTGTAAGGTAAGCTGCAACAATCCACTCAGTCTGAAAGCCTGTCCTAAATAGTATAACGCTGCTACAGACTTAGCTTCATGACTAAGAGGATCAGCAAAATTTGAAAACAGACCACCCCATCTCTAAAACCAGCTAGGACTTAGCTCTGAAAATCAACAGGCCATCCTTCTGTATTCCAGATTAGCTTTTACCTGCCACTCTCACTGTAATGTCTGTCAGGTGATCTCCTGGCTGCAAGTGACTGTATTTCTCTATGAAATCTGAGAGAGATAAGTCTACGTGGAACTTGTGGGGATAAGGATCTTCATTAGTGCCCTGCAGCTGCTGGATTGCATGGCTACGGATCTTGTAATATTGCTGTAACAAGAAACAAGCAAGATCGAATGATCTTATTAGAATCTTAAAGCATTTTACAAGTTAAAACACTGCTACCCTGACTTAGGAATATGTATCTCCTCTCCTCTCCCCCCCCCCTTTTAACCATTTAGTTCATTCTGAATAAAAATCAAATGTAGATCAACAATATTTATTCTCAAAACAGTAATAAGCACATGTCCAGATTCTCACATTTGGATCCAAGTTTTCCTCATCAGCACCAATGTTATTCTCAGAGTCAGAAGTCAAGGAAGGCTTATTTGAATGCTTTTCACTTTGCTCTTTCTGCTTTGCCTCTTTTTCAGCTATTTTTCTTTCAGCCTTCAAACGCCTCTTCAGCTCACTGTAAAACAGAAGGAAAACAGATGCAGCAGGTACTTTGCTACTTGTATGGGGAAGCACTTTGCCAGATTCTGCCAAAACCTTACTGTAAAAATAGCCCCGTCATTTCCCTTACTGTGGCCAAAAGTCAAAATAATACTTAAGCGTGTTTAAGTGTTTCCTTCTCTGAAGGCTTTTAGTTCATTCCTTAAGAGATACAAATACTCAGAGAAAACTAAAGCTGAATTAAGTATTGCGTAGACAGACCTTGAGGACGTGTTCCCTGCGAGCCCAAGGATCCTCTGCAGGCCCCCTTATACGAGCCTTCATAGAAGCAGAGCTACCCCACGCGGCAGGTAAGTGAAATGAGTTAAAAGTCAGGTTAAAGTCACCGGTTAAAGTCAGGCTCTGCTTCAGACTCCCGCAGCCGCCTTCGCGGCCCGCTCCCCGTGGAGCGCAGGGCACCACAGCCCCCGGCCCCGCCGGCCGGAACTTCATGAGGAAAGAGGTGGGCCCGGCCAGATCGCAAAGCACCGACCTGCTTTGGTCATGAAGTGCCTGGCGCCATCGGAGCGCGGGCGCGGCCCTCCAGGCCCAGCCGCGGAGCCGCGCAGCGGCAGGCCTCAGCATGGCGCGCTCCAACGGATCACCTGGCGGCACACGCCGGACGTTCGCTCAGCTCAGCTCAGCTCAGCTCAGCTCAGCATCGCCTCAGTTGCCCTGCCCGCCCACCCTCACTTTTTACTGAGGCGCGGCTCAACGTCCCCCACGTCGCAACCCCGCTCCGCTGCGGCCGCCATCTTCGCTCCTCCCGCGGCGCTTCCGGTGGCGCGGCGCCTGCGCGCCGGCGGGCAGCGATGGCGGCGCGCGGGAAGGCGGAGGCAGGGCGCTCGCGGCAGCTGTTCCTGTGGGACGACGGGAGGCCGATGCGCTTCTACGTGCGGCCCGGGCTGACCAAGCTGCGCCTGGCGCCCCTGCTGCTGGCGGGCGGCGGGCGGCTGTGCCGCATCCAGGAGCCGGACGCCGTGCTCCTGGCGCAGGCCGGCGAGCAGGCGCCCGGCGGGGCCGTCTCCGCCGAGTACGTGACGGAGTGCATAAAGCGCAACCAGCGCCTGCCGCTGGAGCCCTTCCGGCTGCCCGCCGCGCCGCCCCCGCCGCCCGCCGCCTCGCCGCGCGGCCGCCTCGCCTTCACGGAGGCGGAGGACGCGGCGCTGCTGCAGGCCGTGCGCGGGCGGGGCGGGAGGCGGGTGGGCGGCAGGGCGCTGTGGAAGGAGCTGGAGCGGGCCGGCCTGACGCGGCACTCCTGGCAGGCCATGCGCGACCGCTACCTGCGGCACTTGAGGCCGCTGCGCGGGGGTGAGCAGGGGGCGGCCGATGGGGCCCGGGGGGAGCGGCGGCGGCGGCGGCCCGGGCCCGGCAGCCATCGCCCGTCTCTTCCCGCAGAGCCCAAGCAGGCGGAGGAGGAGCGCGCACGAGGCATGGGCATTTTCGAGGCAGCGAATCGGGAGTTTGAAAGCGACGAGGTGAGCGTTGGCGGCCGGCGGCGGGGCCGCAGCCGCTGCTGTGCCGCTGAGGGCGAGCTGCGCGCGGCAGCCCTGGCTGCCACGGAGCGGCTTCCCCATGCTGTAGCTCGGTTAAATTCTTGGTTTGCTTTGCACCGTGATACCCCTTCTGCTATGGCGAAATGGGAGCTTCGTGTGAGCTGTGAGCTATGTGGCTTGCGGTGAGCAGCATCTCACTGCAGCACGTGCAGTAGGACCTGTTTGTGTAACTTGATTCTCTGCCCAAAGTTCGGCTGAGGAGGTTATCGTGACTGTTACGTGCTATGATGTGTCGAGAGCTGTATTGGCAGCTTTTACCTTGGGCATAAAACGTTCGCGCGGTTGCACTAATGTTTATCTTTGCTTTTTGTGCTTAGGTTGTTCAAATGGGGAGGTTCAGGCTGGATATTGGGAAAAGGTTTTTCACCCAGAGGGTGGTCGGGCACTGGAACAGGCTCCCTAGGGAAGTGGTCACAGCACTGAGTCTGCCAGAGTTCAAGAAGCGTCTGGAAAACACTCAAGACACGTGGTCTGATTTTTTGGGGGCTGGTCTTGTAGGAACCCAGAAGTTGGACTCGATGATCCTTGTGGGTCCCTTCCAACTCAGATAGTCTATGATCCTTTGAAATACTCCCTTACATGTCTTGCTTTTCTGTGATCTTGTATATCCTTGTTAACATACATCGCTTCACTTCAGTCACTGAATTATGATGTGTCCACTAATTAGAGAGTGTCTTTATATGTTCTAGAAAGTCATGGTGGAAGATACTGATCACAGGGTAGCAGTAATAACAGAAGCTTGCTGGGAAATATACCTAACTGATGATTTCTCTTACTTTTAGTCGGAAAGTGACACCTCAGATGCTTTAGAAGAACTTCCTACACAAGTTGGAGGGGGAAAGCCTCCAGGTGAAACAGCATCTGGTTTGGAGACTGGGATGGAGGACTGTGCTTTCCCTGGCACTCAGTTACAAAGGGAAGACAGACCAAGAAGCACTTGCTCTTCTTCCAGTGTGGTGGGAGAAGTAGTGAAAACTATGCGGCACTTCATGGAAAGGTTTAACGTGGACCTGTTCACTGTTACACAGGCCTTTCTGAAAAACACTGGTGAAGTGGAGACTACATCATACTTTCTGCAGACAGGGCAGCGTTTGGATGGATACCCTGTGTGGAGCAGAGAGGACGATTTAGAATTGCAAAAGGATGACGAGCATGTTAGAAGTAAATTGATAGCAAAATTTGGAGCTGAAAATGTAGCAAAGCGAGTAGCATTTAGGAAAAGTTAGTAAAGTAGATGGAAATGACTGTTCTGTTACAGTGGTAAGAACTTAATAAAAGCAAGGTCATTTCAGAAATGCAGATGTGATGGAGAATGTTATATTGTTCTAAAGTTTCAGAAATGCTTTAAAATAACTTTTATAAATGGCTGATTTTGTGTTTGTTTTTTTTTTTAAATGCAGAGCATACTGAACATTTAAAAGTAGAAAACGATGAAGAGAGAAATCCTATCCAGTATTAAGTTTTCTTAGTGAAAGTTTGCTTTAGACTGTATATTTACTATATAAGCCATCTGACAGTTTGGCCTGTATTTTACTGTATGTAGTGGATTTTGAATGAGGTTGGCTCCAAAGTGAGACAGACTCTCATTAAATACTGAAACTGCTGTCTTATTAGTACATGATATCAACCTCCTTTCTGTTATGTGTATCACTTCAGAATGCTGTGGATGATCATCTAGGAACGTACTCTGCCAGCTGTTGTCACTACCTTATGTTTTTGTTAATGGACCTTGATTAGTAGCTGACATGCAGAAATGATACCAGTGAAAATGTAACTGTCCAAAACGAGGGTTAAGAGCATGTTAGAAAATGTGTTTGAGGTGCTCAGTCTTATAAATAAATGTTGAGATCTGGAAATGACCAAAACGTTCACCAGGACATTATAATACTGTCTCATGGTTACAGAGACCTCAGTTAAAATCTCAAGCAAGTGTGCAGTCATCTCAATTTTTGTTAACAACTTTCAACAGGTATTTTCCATTGCTAATATTACAGGATTTGTTTAATAATATTAAATTTACCATCTGTCCTTGTGATTTCAAAAAACTGTTAGTTCTCCCCCAGTTACAGGGTTGAAGAGTCCCAAGTCTTCAGTCTAGGCAAAGTAGCACTTCTGCTTAGACTGACCATGCAGTCTAGCTTGAAAAAGTAGACCAGCTTTCAGGGTCATATGCTGTAGTTCTGTCTAGCTGTATTAATCTCAGACTTGAAGTTAAAAATCTTTTAGTTGTGTAATGTCTGAGCAAGATAGAAAATAATGTCTGATATATGGTCATAATCTGAAAAAAATCAGTACATACAGCTTGAAATTGTGTTCTGGTCTCCATTATTATTTGAACAATCAGCTGGGCACTAGTCATTTATAACTCCTCTTAATCTGGAATTAGGTCATCCTTTTAGTGAAGTAAAATGGGGTTATAAAAGCAAAGGTTGATTTTTTTTTTTAAATAATACTTATTTTTTTAAGAGTCATTCAGGGTTGTTGCTGCACCGTGGTACTCCGTTGAATTAGGAAATTGCTAGTTATAAAGCAAATTGAAATTATTGAAAGTCAATGATAACTTCGTATAATGAGACTTCTATTTCAGAAAACCAATGTACTGAAGCATCCACTGACTTGTAATATTGACAACTGTTATCCAAATAAATGCCAAAACTTTTAGACTGTGCAGTGTTCTACTAGACAGGTCATTTCCTGCTGAAACAGTTAGAACGGTTTGGTACATTCGTGCTGCTCCGACTGGTTCGTTGGGACTTGTGGGGAAGACCAGACAAGCACTTAACAAGAAACTGCAAGATAACAGTAAATAAGGAGTAAGATTTAACAACAAACTTATACATCTGGATTCAAAAATCCGATCAGTGCTGATAGCCAAGTTCAAGAGCATGAGACCCTCCTGCAGCCAAAAACTCCCAATTCCAGCTTATGTGGTGTACCTCAGCAGCACCATAGGCTCAGAATTCAATGAAATCATCTTGTGTAACCTAAACTACTCAAGCTCAAAGTGAGAGGTAGAACACCTCAAATGGCTGCAGCATAAGAAGATCTGGTGTAAGACTTACCTGTATCTTTTATAATTACTATTTTTACCTGCTTTGTGACATTTCTTGAGAATGAGCTTGTCTTTTTCTGGGCAATTAGTCAGACCTTCAGTGCTGATTTCTGAGTCAGTATATTGTGCTTTTCTTTGAATGGTTTTGCAAAGGTAAATTGTCTAATACTGCAAACATTTCCATATGCACTTAGTGGTCTCTTTAGGTATGGGATCTGGATAAGAAGACAAAGAGTATAGCTTATTCAAGGTGGCACTCTTTCATCTGTTCTAAACTCATGAAAAGCGCTGCTTATCCACAGATACATTCTTTCCTGTGCAAGCACATAGGTCTGGTTCTCTTAATTGCTTATTTCCATCTCCTTATCCTGGAGATGTCACTATATCACACAGTTCTGGTTCAGAGCATTCTGGCTCTGCCTTCTCTTGTGATAAAAAAATAATTTATCTGTTTTGTTTTACTAAGGACACAGTTATAGTCCTTTGGCTATGAGACACGTTGTCTTTCCACATTCATATTGGAGGCCCTGTGCTATTATATTAAGAACATTTTCTGAAGCCCAAGGAAGCATACATGCATCTTCCTTGTATAACTGCCTGAAGCAGCTATATTTGTAAGCATGGAAGAATGAGCAGAGTGGCAATGCAAGTGCCAGAACTTTGCGATAAAGACAAACTTAAAGGCAGACAGTATTCGGTCTGCAATCCATTATCTGGAATTTGGGCATTTCCTATGTGCTTCCTTTCAGAATTAGACAGCATTCATCAATATCAATGCATTCTGGCCATTCATAATTTAATTGACAATGAAGAACTGATTGCATGCACTAGGTTAGAAAGCAACAGACAGGAATACCCAAGAGTTAGTTTCTAAACATCTCCTTGACTAGTGGCTTTTGCCATCCTACACTTTATTGGTATAAAAGCTGTTTACTCTTTTGAACTTGTAGAATATATACTTGACATTTGTTTCTAAACAGACTACAACAATCTTTATTCATGCATGTGCCAAAGGATGTAGCCATAGTTTTATCAGTCATACTGTCTTGAAAGTTTGCCCATATCATCTTATCAGCTGCTGGCCAGCTGTACTCCTACCAGCTCCCTTGCTGGTAGGGTAGCTAACTTCTACTTACCCCTTCCTGCTCCACAGTTGGTCCGCAACTCCCTTCTTAACTCTGCAGGATGGTCTCTTACCCCAAAGAGCTGCGCAGGATGTGGCCATGCTGATGCCTGCCCCAGTGGAGATGACGACAGAGCTGCTTCTGATCTGGGAAGCCATCCCTCTTCTCTAGACTTCTACTCTTGGTGGTCCCAGAGTTCTTAACTTGGGATGGCTCATTAGTTTATTCCATAATTGCAGTCTATCTAGCAGCTACTTTGTTTTGCCTCCACCCCATGCCATCACATGCTCTGCTTCCATCTCCCCAACTTGTCTCTGCCCTGTTCTTCTCACAGTTTCCATGGCCTTTGCCATTAGTCCAGCTATGCTTCTGGGGCTTGCTGTCCAAACAGCACTCCCTCCTATCCTCCTCCCTAAGGTTCACTCTTCACTCCTGATTTTTGCCTGCACGCTTCCCACCACACCTCTCCTCTGCCCATCCCTGACACAGCTAATCATGGCAACCCTCCCCCAAAATAAATAAATAAATACATAAATAAGAGAGAGAAAGATTTCTCTGAGCCTCATTAATCCACCAGGTTGCCATGTCAGCCTATTGCATCTCAGAAGCCAAACCAGGTGATTTTGCCGTGAACAGATTAACACAGTTTACAGGATCCCTTGCATTGGCTTATCTGAGGAGAAGCTGTGACAGCGGTCATACAAACTTCAAAACAGGCTAACCTTCAAAAGTTGACACATGATGAGGTCCTTTGCAATTCTTAGTACCAGTCTGACAGAAGTTCATAACACAAAGACTTATTGAGCATTACTAATGTCTTTCATTTAAAACATTTTTTTAAAGAAAACAATCCACATAAACCAAGGTCCCAGAGGACTTCTTGAACAAGTAGCTCTGAATGTACTATTAAACTGACACACACTGAAAGGACTCTGCAATTTACACATGAAATGGGATGTTTAGAAGATGTTGTTTGTGGGCATTTCATTCCCTAAGCGTACTAACAAGCTTTTCTCCTTGTTTTACAGAACACTGTTAAAAATATGCCAAAATAGTTTTGTTGTTCAGGTTTAAGCTACATATTCCCAATGGAGACAGAAGAATGGCATGGAGGTGGTGCAGAATGGCACAGTATACTAAGCATAAGTTTATTGTGCTCTAAGACAGGAAATAATGTGTTGAAACAAATTCAATAGAATAGCTTCCTGTTCTCCTCTCAGCTTTTTCAATCCACTGCCATGAACCTATGTTGTCAGTTCCAGTATTTACACCAATGGAATCTGTGTCCTTACCTTGTCTTTACAGTCTCAGCATTAGCATGAATTCTTCTCAGTCACACATGTGGGCTGTGAGAATTCCCAGGGCAAGAACTGTTCCTAGTTGTGAAAGCTGGATACAGAATTATTTCAGCTGAAAAATAAATGGATTCACATAGTCCCAGTAATGGATTCCCATACAAAAACCTAAGAATTTCCACTTTCAGCTATAGATGGTTTATTCAAATTTCCTATTCCACAGTAAGTGAACACAGACATTTTGCCAACATTACCACCAGTGCTGGATGCTCAGGCATGGAAATGGAACAAAAGAAAGACTGAACTTGAAAACTTAGCCATTCTGAAAAAAAGGATCTTCCCAGAAAACAACGTCTGGTTATCTTTGTGCCTATTTTGGCATTGTATGTCCTGAGTGGCAGCATGACAAAGAATGTTCTCTTTATTCAGCTTCTGTTTGTCTCCTCTTCCTCTACAGTGCAGTTGCTTCACGTGATTTCACTAGTACTTAGCTGCAGTCTGTGGGAGATCAAGCTCTGATATCTGCTCCCAACATACATACTTCCTCTTTCACATATACCCTGGACTTAATTTGGAAAAACAGACTTGCATTACTCCATCCTGTGTTGTGGCCTTGAAGAGTGAGCCTGTGCTGCTGGGAAAGCTGCCAGGAGTGCAGTCAGGGCTCCTGTGTCACTCATCACATGCACACACACAGATGCCCCTCTGCCTTCTTTTGCACTGGTAAACAGTTCTCCACCTTGCAGCCTTCAGAGAGGAGGTAAAACAAGCAACTTCTCTGCCTTTTGAATTTGTTACTTGGAGGAGTTCTGGCCAAACAAAAGATCCAGCAGCAGGTTTTTCTGTTCTTCTTCGGAATGAACTAGCCGGTAGCCCAGTAAGTCCATTGCGTCCTTGCACACATTTTGCACTTTTTCTATTTTCTGGAAGGGAAGGGTCTTCCTCCAGGCCTCAGATACGCTCAGTGCATCTCTGGATCCAATCTCAAAGGCCTGTCCTCCTTGCCCCTTCCCATGGGTAATGTTGTGCACCCATTTCTGAAGTTCTGGTGTGAAATGGAGTTCTGCAAACCTGTACATCTGAGCAGCCTTTGCTAGTGGGTCTCTGACGATGTCTTCATAACGAACCAGCAGGTAACGGTCTTTCAGGAAGCTGGGAATAGCCTGCCTGCCTGCCTTGTAAATCTCAACATGGCTTTTGCAGATTTCTTGCATAGCATTGTAGGGTCCCATTTCTTCCTTCATCTTCTGGGACCCCAGAACAATGTCATTGTCACGTTTCAGGCCTATCACTGTATTCTCTCGGGACCTGAACACAGCTCGAGGATCCCGGACCAAGTGAATGACTTTGAGGTTCAGGGATGGATCAGTGAAAAGGGAGTAGAGGACTTTCAGGTCAAAGAACCGAACCTCCTTGATGGCAACATGGCTGTAGGTTTTACAGGCTTCCTCCACTTTACTGAATGGGTACTTGCCACAGACTGTCCTGCAGTTTCTTGCAGTGATTATGTCATTGCGACTGAATGAGTCGCAGGCAGGGGGAGAGCACAAGGCTCGGCTTGTCTCCCACTGAAATAAATCAGACTTTTTCTTCTGGCTTGACATGTAGGCATCAAACACAGACATGTCACAAAGAAAGACTGATCTGACTAGGTCCCGCACTGCCATCTGTAAGACTTTGGCACTGTTCTGGTACATAGCAACCCACACATGCCATGCAGGCTCCATCAGGTAGAAGACACTGGGGTGCTGGCTGAAGATCTGTCCAGTGAAGGAAGATCCTGACCGCCAGGAGGAGAGAATGAGGATGTGGACTGGAGAAGGCTTTTCTTCCATGGGGGCATTGCTGCAGGTTAGGAAGTCAAAGTGAATCATGAAGGACAGAACTGCCAGAATCAGGAGTACCTGCACCCATCTAGATTTCATCATGGTTGCAAGGGACCTGCAGAGACAGACAGAGGAAGTTCAGCATCACAGGGTCATGAAGAAGGCACTTGTAGTGAGTTGTGCTCCTACCAATCCCACTGTAGGCTCAGGGTTTTGGAAAGCTGCCACACTACCACGATACTGTGAAAACCACAGCACAAGATAGCCTTCCACAGCCAGATCACACAGACGGAGAGAGAGACAGGCTTCCAGAAGAAGCCCACTGATTTGTTTTTTTTTGGTTATACAAATGCCCTGTAGAGTTTAGTTCTGATAAGAAGCTGATTTGGATAGACATTTGGACCAAGCCTAGTAACAGCTGCAAACAAAGACCATTGTGAAATTAAGTCATATATTAGCTTCTTCCGTTCAAATAAATACAGTAGTGTTTACCAAAAACCCTGGCTTCCAAATGAACTTTGATGATATCACTTCCATCTGACACCATTAACATCTTTATTGTAACTCACAGAGAAGTCCTTGGACTGCAGCCAGGCAATCTTAATTCAGAAAAACATGTTGAGCAGGCATGAACACTGGCCTTAAAACACACAGGCAGATATAAAGCCACAGTAATCATTATTCTCTGAAAATCTACATGTGAATAGTCTGAGTAAAAGTGAATGGGTTTGGTTTTGTTGGGAAGCAAGGGTATGCTTTTATGTCCAGGGTAGGACAGCTGGATGTTGTAGATATGCAGACCATCCTTGTGACTGCTCTTGTTTGCCTGAGGAACAGCCTCATGTGAGGCAGACTCAACAGGGAATTTCTTCATGCACACAGTAAGCAGTAATGATTTATGCCCTGACCAGTCTGCCCTAAAGGGAGAGGAGAAAAACTGAAACAAACTGTGTGTGTCTGGTGATGTGGAATAGAGGAGCAGCAAAGAGAGGTAAAAGTTCTATCAGACATTTCCTAATATGAAATAAATACTAATTGAATACACTTACATGTATTTTTCACTGCAATATCTCTTGCTTATGGCAGCTGGGATGGTTAAGGTCTTAAGGTTAACCACATTTTTTTTCCCCTACAGCAAACATCCAGAGTCACAGGCAGAGTGAATTGGTTCACTTCACAGTGCAAAAGTGAAATATGAAAGCCCTCACAGAGCTACAGAGCAAATAGCCATGAATGACTGAAAAAAGCTCAACTGCAGTACAGAAAAGGCACACTTATTGTCAGCTGGCAGCAAGATGAGCTAGGATTTGGCCGAGAGCATAACAAAAAAGAATCATGATGTGCCAAGGATGAAGAACACGAACTACTGAAAAAGACAAAATCAAGTGTCATCATGTTAGGTCTCCTATAGCACATGCAAGAGAGGACAAAGAACTGTAATCTGCCTGCATTGCGCAGCTGTTAAAAGCAAACAACCCCCCCAACAAACAAAACAGAATAGTAACCTTTTGTATTTCACTTATGTGTCAGGCTTTAGGTACGGCGGGGGGGCGGGAGAAGGGGGGTGTCTACAGGAGTGGCCTCTATGAGGAGTCCAGAAGCTGCCCCAGGCTAGCTGAGAGCCAGCTCCAGCTGGCTTAAAAAAGGGATCCACCACTGGCCAGAACTGAGCCAATGAGCGATGCTGGTTGCACCTCTGTGAGAACACAATTAAGAAGGGAAGAGGAAAAAAAAATGCTGCACAACAGCAGCTGGGAGAGAGGAGTGAGAAAATGTAGAGAGAAACAATCGTGTGAGGACACCCAGGTCAGTGCAGAAGGAGAGCAGGAGGTGCTCCAGGTGCTGGGGCAGAAGTTCCCCAGCAGCCTGTGGAGAAGCCCATGGTGGAGCAGGCTGCCCCCTGCAGCCCACGGGGTACCACGGCAGAGCAGATCTCCACGCTGCAGCCTGTGGAGAGGAGTCCACAAAGGAGCAGGTGATCGGGGGGGGGGAATCTGCCGTATGTGGGAGACCCATAATGGGGCAGTTCCTGAAGAGCTGCTGCCTGTGGGAAGCCCACGCAGAATGAATTCGGAAAGGATGGCATCCCGTGGGAGGGACCCCACATGGAGCAGGGGCAGAGGGTGACCATGAAGGAGCAGTGGAGGTGAAGCATTATGGACTAACTGCAGTCCCCATTCCCCTGTGGCGATTGAGGGGAGGAGGTTGAAGAGGGTGGACAGGAGGGAAGGTGCTTTTAGTTTGCATTTAGTTTTTCACTGCTCTCGTCTGTTAGTAATAGGTAATAAATTAGCTTAATCTCCCTACGTTGAATCTGTTTTGCCCATGACAGCAATAGGTGAGTAATCTCCCCGTCCTTATCTCAACCCTTGAGCCATTTTTCATCATATTTTCTCCCCCTGTTCCTTTGAGGAGTGGAAGCAAGAGAGTGGTGTGGTGGAGTTTCGCTAGCCATCCATATGAAACCACTACAGCTTTTATGAAAAAACAGAGACGTTGGGAAAGCTTGATGCTAGCAAAGAGAGAGTCACAGAAAGCAGCAAGCAGCTCCAGGGACACATACCTACCAAATACACTGTGAGAATGGGTGGCATGTCTCCAAATTACAGGGTTGCTGCACCTATGTCTGAGGGAGGTGACAGTACAGTACAATATACTTCACATCATGTGGACTGCGGCATGGCACTCTACCATAAAAGTACGGGGGAGCTCTCCAGAGCTGCACTGGTATAGCAAAGTGTATTGGGTGCCCAGAAAGCCCCTGACATGGGTCTTTGGTGGCAGTGATGCTTGCTCATTGTTTTATCATATTTATCCTCAATTTGGCCTGGTTAGCTTCTGCAGAGTTAGAAGTAGCATTTGCCAACTCAGAGAACACATGGCATGACTGAAACTAGTTGGAAATATGGAGAAGACAGTCTGGAGAAGCAGGAAATACCCTCTAAGCCAGACCAACAGCTTCTGTCTGCGCAAGGAAACATATAGCACTTTAATGACAGCCGTATGTCTATAGCACTTTTCAAAAATTATCCCCAGTTCAGGCCGGTAAGCACAAGCAGAAAACAGAGTTCTGGGCACCAGAATATACACATCAGCTACCAAGAAATAGTTGAAAAATTTTACCTTAACATGTCCTCTTGAAGCACCACCAGACCTGCTTCAAGCAAGGCTTCCCTCCTGCACATACACTTGCTGTGGTATGTACTCTTCCAGGCAGCCTTACAAACACCTGTGCATTCATGTACAGGCACTTAGCCTTTCACACCAGGATCTCTTATACACTAATGTACTCAGATCTTACCTATATCTGTTCTTGCACCTGCTTGTACCTTTTATTTATGTCCTAGCTCTGACTACCATGCCCGCCTACTTTGACCTGCTTTAAATTAGAAAACTCCACCCTCCACTAGTGGCAAAGCATGAGAATGGCAGTTTCTTGAAGGGGCACAAATGACCAAACACTACTAGTAAGTGAGAAGGGCCAGGAAATTCACAAAGGCAACTGAGAATTGATTTTGTTGAGACCCTTTGCAGGCCCTGAAATAGCCTGCTGTTCTTAAAAAGAGGAACATGGATTTCTGTGGAGTGTCAGAATGAAAGATGAATGGCAAACCTTGTTGCAGGGAGGACTGTCTTGCCCACCGGGAGTGCTGGTAGGGCGTATTTGCCTACTAATGCTCTGTGTGCCACGTTGCTAGTAGATGCGTCTCATCTACTGCAGTCTTATTGACTCCTTTCTGCCTGTGCTCTGCTTGAGCTACTCTGAGGGCTGAAAATCGTCTGAATAGAGAAGCTCTGGGAGGATCAGCAGGACTTGTCCTATTAATGATTCGCTGCCAGAACTGCTTCACTGATTCACTGCTGTGACAGACAAGGTGGTGAAGAAGAGCAGAACTGGGCTCAAGGGAAACACGTGGTATTCTGCAACTATGAAGAGACAGTCCCTTTGGGATATTCCTATTCAAAGTGTCATCATTTCTGTCACACCTTCTGGTGAGATGTTGACCCCCTGATGCCATCCAATGTCCCACCGTGCTGCTCTGAGGACTAGTCAAGTGTAAGACAGCAAAAGCAAAAAATCTGGGCCCTTCCAGCAGGAGGGACACCCAGGAGGGGAAGGTCACGTTCCCTTTCACTTGCTGCATTACAAACACAGATGGTCAAGCCCTGCTAACCCTGGGTTGGGAAACAAGGTGAGGAGCTGGCAGTGGTCCAGGTAGAGCCCTGCGGAGAGAACCAAGCCATGTTCTGTGCAGCCTGGATTTCAGTTATGTGTTCCTATACCCTCCACAGACACCACCTGTAGGATTGATTTATCTCTATGTCAGTAAGAGTTACAAAGCCGGTTTGTATAATTACACCACTGAATAGCTCTTCCTGAAGCCTAATTTCTCCCTGCCAACATTTGCATGAACAGAGATATGTGGAAATCCTGTTCCACCTGTATATCGTTTGCCCAGGACATGCTGGTCCTTTGCCACCAGTATTCAGGCTTTGTGACAGCCACTGAGCACTGCTGTACAGTCCTCTAGTCACAGGGTTCAACAGACTTTTTCAGTTGAACAGATCCCAAGTACGAGCTGCTTGGCTGAACTTTCCGGACGGCAGCTTCTGTGTCATGAGCAGTTTTACAGAGGTGAAAAACGTACTCCTCTTTGGAAACAAGGCTTGGGAAGGCACACCGTTCTAGCACACTGCCCCCCAAGAGACCTGCACATTGTGGAAAGTGAAGCAGGAATCCTCTGGCTCTTGAACAATGGGCATGCCTCTCCCTGTATGTCTGATAAGCTTTAAGTGACAGATGAAGCAAAGCAGAAGCATGTGACAGTCATCATATGCTTGACAGCAATTAGCCCCGTGCCACTTGGCCTTGAATGCCTTCCTTGTGCCTCACGCAATGGCTGACCAGATTTCTGTTTTCTACCCTGTTCCTTGATTAAAAGTGTTTTTAGGGACTCAGAGACCAGTGAGCTCTGTGAGCCATTTCACATTCCCTGAAGAAGAGAGCAATGCACGGTGTGCATGCACACACAGGCACAACCGACCCAGGGCAGCAGCAATGGGCAAAGACTGAGGAGTAACGTCAAAGGCATGATCTGGCATATTACAACTGTACTTGGTAATACCATCAGTTTGTATCAGGAGAGACAATGAGCCATATCTCCCTATTCACAGTCTTTATTGCAATATAGCTTTCACATGCCCTGTAGAACACAATTTGTCTTATACCATGTTGAGATCTAAAGCAGCTCACAGGAATGCTGCTGGAGTCTCCGTCTCCTTCCACCAATTGCAAAAGGAACCATTGTGACTAAGTCAGATCTCCCCTCTTCAACACAGGGATTCCTCTGTCTCAAGAGCCCTGACCCCGAGAGCACCCTTCTTTAGAGACATCAGTGGTTATTCCCTGACAGGATGCTGGGAACAGATGAGAGAGGCATTCTCTTCTAAAATTTGAAGGGAAGTTTGCTCTCTTAGAACATCCTGTCTGGCTCAGATCACAACTTTGACCTTGGAGACGCATTTAGATTCTCAAACACAAGGTCTGATGCACAGGTACTTTTGTTTATCTTCCTGTTAGAAAGGCAGATTTACGATGCATGCGATGAGATGACTCCTGTTTCCTGCATCCCTGAGGTATGAAATCAGGAGCTGATGTATGAATCTATGCAGTGATTACACACTGGTGAAAGAGATCTCTCTCTCAAAGCAGAAGGAGTTCAGGCATATCCTAGCTGGCACCATTAAGGCAGTAGAGGACAGACAAGGTTTAGGGATCTGCTAGACTGAGTGTGACAGAAAGCTGCAATGTGGCCACTCACACAAGGGCCATGCAAACCCTCCTATGCTGATCACTGTTTTTTGAGTGCTGCTGTATTTTAGTGTTTTGAAATGCACAAGAAAAGCCTTGCTCCTTGCAGAAAAGAAACTTGCAAATAATTGTCAAAAAAAAAAAAAAAAAGACTACCTAAATTGTTTGTCGTTTTCATAGGGCTGAAGGGAGCAGAGCAGAACTCTCTGGCTTTTTCAAAGAGCTCTATTTGGCAGGGATGCTTTATTTAGTTACTATAGTTGCTTTCGATTAACACACAAACAAAGCCAATAGCTAGAAATTACACACACGTGGAAAATACACTACAGATACACTGGGTAACTGGATGTCCATCTGAAAACCTTTACTTCTGTGGAAACAAAACCTGAGCTTATGCATAGGAATAGGTTAAAATATTCTTCTTCAGAAGAGATTATTTTTTTCCACTTTCACTGTAGGAAAGGAGTCAAAAAGAAAAATGAAACATTGGAGCACAGAATACTTTAAATACAACAAAATCCTGAGTCTCCCTGCACAAAATGAAGTGGTAAGAAGATAAAAATATCTTTCACAAAACTCAGTCAGCAATAGTAGGAATTAATGCCTCAACTAAATGTAGTGTTTATGCATTGCTGTGGAGTTGGTACAACTTTCCAGATTAAAGAGATATATGCATATACTATTTCATATTTTGGTCATTGACATGGGCAATACGTCAGAGTGCACTCTCAGGAAGTTTACAGACAACGCCAAAGAGAGAGATGGCTTCCCTTCTGTTAGGGCAGACTGAATCTGGAATACCGGGTTCAGGAAAAGACAGACATTGATGTAGTGGAGTAAGCCCAGAAAAGGCCAAGGAAGTGGTCAGGGCAGGCACACAAGATGCATAAGAGCCTGAGAGGGTGGAATCTGTTCAGCTGGAACAAGACAACGGGAAGATGTTATTGCTGTTTGACACTGCCTAACAGGAGGGCACAAAGAGGCTGTAGATGGTTCTCAGAGGTGTGTAGGCAGAAGATGAGAGGCTCAATATGAGGAGAAAATTTTTCACAATAAAGGTAGTCAAGCCCTGGAACAGAAAACCAGATAGGCTGTAGGAACTCTATTCTGGAAGATAAAAATTCATCTGGACAAGGCCCTGAACAACCTGCTGTATTCAACCCTATTGTAAATAGAGGGTTGGACCATAGATTTCCAGAGGTCCATTTAAACCAAAATTACTCTGTGATTTTGTGATTTCAAACAGAAGTGGCAAGATTTCAAAGAAGTGGCAAACAGAAGTGGCAAGAAGTGGCATCTCTTGCATTTGAGATGCATCCAAACAGGTGGACAGCTGAACTGCTCAAGAAAGAAGCAAAACCCTGTGCAAAAATATATTCAGACGTGAAGATTCCAGCATGCAAAGAGAAGACAAGCAGGCTATAGATGCAGCCATTAAGAGCTAGAGGTGATGTGTGGTAGGTAGCAGGAAAGTCATAATGAAACATATCCAACATTCAGGCAACAAAGCATAGTTTTGAGTTGAACCATTGTGCCCTAGTTCTGCAGCTATCAAGAAAATTGAACCAATGTATGTTGCTACTGAGAATGTAGTAGTTTCAAACTACAGAAAACATTCAGGTAGATCACAAACCATTAGCAAGTATTATGGAATCACCGCTGCTGAGTGTTTCCAGACTACAGAGTTGAAGATGAAAGCTTGTACCTTTCTTAGACTCTTCACTGTCATCCACAGGCTAATATTTGTGCTCCTCATTTCTCCTGACTTTTGTTTCTCTCTTTATTATTTAAACTAATTCAAATCTGAGTTCATATGATTGCAGGTTACTTTCTATGACTCTTCTACGAGATAGTGACTGCTTGCCAAACCAATTTCTAGCGTTGCTTCTTATTAGTTAGTTAGTTGCCTCAACTAACTCAGTGACCAAATCTCCCACTCACATCAAGAAAAAAAATATTCTTATCATTATTAATAATACTGGTTGTCCAGTCTCTAGCTGAGAAGCTATAAGCCTTTCACTGTATTTATGTGAATAAATACCATGGAGATCTGTGTATGTAATCACACAGGGGCAATAAGACCCCTTCTGTGATGCTTTCTTTTAATTCCTCTACAAAGCGATTTTGAGACAAGCAGTTGTGTTTTACATCACCAGCATTACTTGTCCATATGACTTTCACTTGTTATTCTACCCTTCAGAAACAATGCATTCCTTGAATACATATGCTCCATTCATGAGTGCTAGTCTGTGGCAGTTTATAAATCTCCCCCACTTTATGACAAGTACCAGGAGTTGTCACTCCTCTATTTTATTGCCTTTTTTTTTGTGTGTTACATTACTCTATTTCCTGTATAGACTGCCATGTCTCCACTATCACATACTTTTGAGTTAGTTGAGCTAGTGTTATTATTTTCTCCTTACTCTTACTTTTAACTGATTTTATTTTTATTTATCTGCTTTTTGTAATGACATGAAAAGGTATCCTACCAGGCTTGGACAAATAAGACAGGGAATATTAAAAAAAATTACAGTTTTAAGTTTTCTTACACAGTAAGAAAAAAAATATTAAACTGTTGGATTAATTTCATTGGTCATCTTATGCCTTTTTTATGTATATGGACTATCTAAAAACAGAAATCGGCACATGCACTGTAACTTGGAGTAGAACAGCTTGTCTAGAGTTGAGAGGAACAACAGCGATAACAGTACAGCTGAGGCACGCCTGATTCACAGAAGAGTGCAGAAAGGTCTGTGCTAGCAGCAGCTACTTCATAAAATCCTAGAACCACTAAGGTTGGAAAAGACCCATAAGATCATCAAGTCCAACCAGCACCTAACACTACCAAGTCTACAACTAAACCATGTCCCTAAGTGCTACATCCACACATCCCTTAAACACCTCCAGAGATGGCGACTCCACCACCTCCCTGGGCAGCCTGTTCCAATGCCCAACATCTCTTTCTGTGAAGAAATTCTTTCTGACATCCAATCTAAACCTCCTCTGGCACAACTGGAGGCTAATTCCTTGTATCCTATCACTTGTTTTCAGAGAAAAGAGACCAACACCCACCTTGCAACAACCTTCTTTCAGGTAGTTGTAGACAGCAATGAGTTCTCCACTCAGCCTCTCCTCCCCAGCAGTCCCATGTAGGGGCAGTCAGGGCTGCTGGGGGAGACAGTGAGTGAGGTGATGGCCAGGGTCCAGGTTGCATCCACACTCCTAAAGCACCTGGAAGAGCTGAGAAGTTCTTTCCTTTCCCAAGAAAGCACTAGGTTGTCTTACTGCCTAGGTCTCTGTTTGAGGTCATGTTCCTCCTAAACATGACCAGCTCAGACAGTGCAGAAAAGAGCAGAAGCACATTGTAAGCCTGACCCAGGAAATAAAGCTCATGCTCACCAGCTAAGACATGTGTCAGCTATAAACGTACTGGGAGGATTCTACCAAAGCACTGCCAATCTTGTCTGGGTATCTGAGGAAGAGCAGCTCGAGATATTTGTTTTAGTTTTCTCCTTGGTCTCACTGCTGAAGGGGCCTTCATTGGCACAAAGAACCTGCGGATGCCAGCTTAGGCTTGTTTGTATGGCTGGCAGAGTGCTACAAGCTACACCCTCATCATGAAGCAAAGCATCTGTGATTATGATGCCTGGAGAATGATTCCATCATATTTGTGTTTTAATGTTAGTTTGCTATCACAACAGCGAAAACTTAGTTGTGGTCAACGGGCAGAGGTATGTTTGCAAAAGATAGCAATAGAGGAAGTGGCCTTGACAGGCCTAAGTGTCTTGAGATCTGTAAGGTATTTACATAAGGTATGTCTCTGGCCGCTGGTCAAATGACATTGGGCTTAGAGGAAACAGAACACTGTTAGTCACTGTAGATTATTTGCATGTTAACAGAAATCTCTGGAGGGACCCTTAAGGGAAAGGTGTCCACGAAGGGAGAGGGATTTGAAAGGAGCAGCTTTCTCTAAAAAATGAGACCTATTCATAAGTAATAACAGCATAACAATGCAGCAGCATCATGCTGTAAAGTCCAGCTGGCCCAACAGACCCCTTGCACACCATCCTATTAATCATTTATCAATCTTTGTCTTAAACAGCTCAGGTTATTTGGTTTCATTTTGAGGTCCAAAGGACCCAAATCTCTTAAGTGTCACATCATTAACTCACAGCCCCAGCACGATTCTCTTTTTGTTCTAGGATTGCTTTGTTTGAAAGGAAAGGATGTAGCCTGGACATTCAGCTGATGTGTACCTTTTCATATAGTATTTTCCTCAAAAATATACTTTCCCTCTAATGGAGTACTGGTACCCAGATTTTGTCCTGGACAGGACAGGACAAGGCAATCAGATGTCCACAGAGCCTGGTGTGAGGTCTGGGAGCACGCAATGCAGAGCTAGCTCACTTGTCCCATGGAAGAGGAGGCAGGATCAACCTGTGGGTCTCACCTCTGCAGTAAGACAGGTGAACAGAGCTGGAGGTGACAGCATGAGGCATTCTGCGTATCGCTGCTCTGTGAAGAGAGATATCTCCCCAGGACCCTGACTACAGCAGCCAGTATGATGGGCATTACCTTCTTGTGACTGCACAGGCGCTGCTCTCTCTTTCCATGGAACAGGCAGGCACCTGGCCACCAGTTCCTTCTTACTTTATGAGACTTATGCACTCAATCATCAGCAACCTGGGCAAGGTGGCACATCACACACACATGATGCAAGCATCTCACAGGGATACCACCCTCTTCTTCACTACTGTGGCAGGAAACACTCAGCTACCTCAGCCTTGAACAGCTGGGGATTGGCACCTGGCACTGCCCACACACCAGCACCCATTGCTCTGCTGGCTGGGAGCTGTGAGAGCCAACCCACAGTGGCAGGTGGGGCTGGCTGTGAGGAGGGGTCCAGCCACTTCAGGGAGCCTCTGGTGTCACTGGGATGGTGTGGCTGGCTCCAGCCTGTGCCAGGCTTGCTGGGCCCATCCTGCCCTGGCTATCTGCTGAATACCACTGAGGTGCAAATGGCTCTTTCTGTGCCCCTGCTGATGGCTGGGCAGGCCCCAGCTGGACAGCTGTAGGGACAGAGGTGACCATGGGGTACCACCAGTGAAGCAAGGGTGACCCAGCCAGCAGCCTGGACCTGACCTGGTACAGTAGGAGCACACTATGGGGTCTGCCATCTCAGAACATTTATTAATAATAATAAAAAAAAAAAAGTCACAATAACTTACTCCCTTTGTTGCACAAAGGGCTTGGTATAAAGAGCTCTGACCTCCTAAGTTAAGACAGGTGAGAGGTGGGTGAGTGTCTCTTGTCCTCTGAGACCACGACCATCTCCTGCCCCAGAGGGGGAGTGCAGGCAGCACGGGAGCTACTGGCCACACAGGGCCGTAGGCTGCGGGTCCTGGTGCAGAATCAGCCATGTGCCCCTGCCTGCAGCTTGTTCATGGGCAGCACAGACCACTGTGGGGTGAAGATACTGAGTATATGGAGACCACAGACACCAGATACCAGAGAGTGTGGGAGCTGCAGTGGAAAAGAGAGAAGTGTCTGCTTCTTTCCATGAGCTTAGGGGGTCTGTGAAGAAAAAAAAAAAAAAAAAAAAAAAAAAAAAAAAAAAAAAAAGCGAAGCAGCAGGACAGCAGCTGCCTACAGGCAGGGGGTTGTGGGGCTGGCTGGACACAGCTCTGCCTGCTGCCTCACACAAGATCTAGCCAGGCAGAGGCAGAAGGCTGGCTGTGGCTACTTGTCACACTCCAAATCCTGGGCCCCCTCAGCACCCTGGTAGTGCATCTCGCAGAACTCCTGGATGCGACTGCAGGCCTCCAAGATCATCTCCTCAGGTACAGTGATCACCACACGGAAGAAATTTGGGTACTCAAAGCACTGAAATGATAAAGGATAAAACTGACAGATTATCTGGGATAAAGCTGGTGTCTCAGAGCCCCGCCTTGGGGCCACATGTGTAATAACAAATGAAAATGGTCAGTGTAGGACATTGACTGAGGACAGTAAGGCCAGGCTCTTGCTCCCTTAGACTGGCTGTTCCATTTCAAATAGGTCTCCCAGCTCCATTTGGGAAACTTCTCAGTGCAGACATAATGCTGTAGGGGTCACAGACCAAAGGACTGCATGGATTGTGTAAGACATAAGGATACCTCTCTCCTCCTCAAAGGCTTACAGAAGGCTAGGACTGGAGAAAGTCTGGGGCCTGTCTGGATTCAGTGTAGAAAGTGGAGTAGGAAGGAGATAGGCAGAGGGACAGACTACAGGCTGAGAATTATGCCCTGTGCCTACAGGCTCGGGAGACTATAAATGGGGCATACAAAGGAAGATAGGTGGGAACAGTCCTGAGTCTCTGAGGGAGTGGCTTCAGCAAGGAGGTATGGAGGTACGTTCATTCCACGGATACAGCTCTGCCAACATCAGAAATACAGAGCAAATTTGGAGCTGCAAAGGTCCTGAGAGCTCGACCAAGGGCTGTTAGTAAGCCAGATATCTCCAGCCCCCATCCTTGCACACTGTACTTAGAGCATGACAGTGCATGGACATTGCATACAGAATTTCCAAACTATCCCCAGAATTTAGGGTTGCAGTTTGCTATTTGCTTCTATCCCTGTGCTTAGGCCCCACACACCTATGGGACTCTCAATGTCATGCTTACTGTGGCCGGCAGGCAGAACACAGACTGCTCCGAGATGAGCCGCTCAGTGAACTCCACATCATTTTCAAACTCAGGGAAATGCTCCATCTCAATTTCAACCTGCAGCAGAAGGATGGAACATGGCAACCAAAGGCACCAAAACTATCTGCAGTGTCCCCTGCTTACCCACAATGCCCAACAGTTTCCCAGCCAAATGCAGCTGCCTGCCCTCAGGGATTTTTGCTCATTATTTGGGCTGGCTGGAATGCAAGACAAACAAATATATATAAGTGAACACTGGGGACTTTTTAAGTAAAGTAAAACAAACTGCCCAAAGCTGGAATTTCTGTTAAGGGCAGCTTTAGTCAAAAGCTGAATAACACAGGTACAAAAACCCATTAGAAATGAAAAGGGATAAATCCAGATAAGGAAGAAGTGTGAGAAAAGTCTATCCAATATCTATTAGTAATTTTGTCATCCAAGAAATCTGTAATGTAAGAAAGCAATAGAAGACAAATTAATGAGTTTTAAGATGAGAAAAAAGATAATGTCTGGAATGCTAAGAAGAAAGGAAGTGTTCAATAACTACTTCTGTATCAGGAAAGAAAGAGGTTGTCCCCATATCAAATAAGGACAGTGAGATCCTGTCTTTTTGTTTTTAATCCAGAAATAATTGTAGACATCTCATTAAGATATTCTAAACTAAAAGCAGTTGAGAAATAATTTGCATGCAGAAGTTCTAGAAGAGTCAGTGGAAGAAAAAATTCACTAGGTGATTTCTTTTGGAATAAGTGTTCAAATACTGCAGAAATACTAGAGTCATGGATGACTCTTAGAACTATGCCTCTACACAAACATCATAAAAAGAATGATCTGTGTAGCTCTGGGTAAGGTTGTAAACAAGGTCTACTGATAAAGATTTTTCTATTGAACTTGGGTGAGACTGACATTGCAATATTTTCTACTTCTGGATCCATCTTTTTTTATTTTTTTATTTTTTTTCCTCAAAGCTGTGGAAAAACCCAAAACGTGAGACCAAAGGAAGATACATGTAGAAATGTACTAAACCTGAGACTTAAGTATTTAAGTTGAGCTTGTTGAGATGAAAAAGGAAACTTCAGTACACCATAAAGAGATAAAACAAAACAAAAAACAAAACAACAACAAAAAAAACCAACCAACCAAAAAAACAAACAAACAAACAAACAAACAAACACGAACGTACATGAAAAGGCAGAAGAAGAGGCAACAGTATAGGCAGAAGATAGCCATGTGGGAATAAGGCTACACCTTTAACAGCAGGTATGACTTGTGATATAGAGGATTTCCATTGGCAGCTGGCTTCAAATCCAGATAAAAACAACATTGTTTTGCAATGTACAACTCACTGAGTGCTCCGCAGGTACAAGCAGGTTAAATGTACCAGCCTCTACTGTGTGAGTAGTAAGCAACATATGGTAGTTTTCTAAAATGACCAAGGGATGGTTCCACTGTTCTGAGCAATGTGAAGACGCATGGTAGTGGGGACCTAGTGCTAAGCACTAATTTGAAGCCATTGACAGCTACAGCAGAGAGACCTAGGGTGACCAATGATGGTCAGAAAACAGCATTTCACTCTCCTCACTTACCATGAGGTACATGGCTCCAGCAGGCCGGACAGGCTGGAGGCCTGGGATAGCTGATAGGGCAGCATAACAAAGGTCAGCATTGGACTGAAAAGCAGAAAGAAGAAAGTTCAGAAACAGGAGAAATTCCAGGAAGCTGATCAGCAAATGGAAGCCAAGCTCTGGATCAGGACTATAAACAAGTTTGCCCACTGCAAATAAAGGGGCAAGGAACGCAAACAACATGGGTGATCATGGCCTTGAGTACACTGAGCTGAGCTCAGCAAATCAGGGATGAATGCCTTACCGCTTGGGTCACAGCTTTAGCTGCAGGGCTGGGCTTCCTGAAACTTGTCATAGCCAGTATTCCTGCCATGAGGATAGGCTAGAGAGATATTGATTTCCCCCACCCCAAACAACACATGAACAAACTGATGTCCTGTGACAGCCTTTTTACCTTAAGGATGCTGAGGGTGTTGTGGTAGAACTCAGGAGGCGTCTGGTGCAAGATACGCTCCAGTGCTCCTTGGACAATTGTACATGGTCCTAGGATCCTCTGACTCAGTCTAAGAAGGCCATCCCTGATCTGAAAGAAGCATGATGATATTTGCAACTCAGTGTGCTTTTTTGAAGAAAAGAGGCAGTTCCAAGGCCTGTTGTCTGCATTTCTACAGCTGTTAATGTTGCTCTCTTCAGTAAGCATACAAAGTACTTAGGAATATTTGCTTGATTACATTACAGGTATCTGCAGACTATTTACAGTGTCATTCTCTTGTCTCCAGTTAGGAATTGTAATGCCAGCAGAAACATCCTTCTGATCTTCCCACTCAGAACATGCTTGATTATAGCTAATATTCTTGCTAAATAGAGACAGAGCTGCTCCAAAAGCCTCTTTGCATGTCCGTTAGGTTTTGGTTCACAATACACACTTTCAAAGCCAGGTAGGAAAAAACATTAGCTCTTCTGCTCACTCAATTGCTGGTCTGTTCTCTCTCTTCCCATGAAGAAAGCCCTCTAGGTCAAAGGATCACTGCAGTAGGTGGTTGCTCTCGTAACACAGATGAAGCGATAGATAACACACTGGCTACAATGCATGCTGCTTTGGTCCCACTTTAAAGGGAAAACAGATGAGAGCACACTGACCCCACATACTGGATAAACCATGCAATGCTATCAGTACACATGAGCTGTTTGAGAGAAGGCAGCAGAAACAAGTAAGACAGGTGAAAGGCAATATATGGGAGCAGATGGACTAAGGAATGGACATGAGCAGCCAGCATGTGCAGAAAAACATGTGAGCAACTCACATGAAAGCAAAAGAGGATTGCATGCCTGTATCAGTCAAAGCCCTGGTGATTCACACACCGAACACATCACAAGTTTGTTGCCAAGGCAGTGACACTTGGAAATTCTCACCTCATTACCAAAGATGTCTCTCCTGTCATGGATTAGGATCCAGCCCATTCGCCAGCCAGGGACAAGCCATCGCTTTGCCAAGCCACCACAGGACAAGATGGGCACATTGGTGCTGAGAGTTGCAATGGGTTCATATTTGCAGTCAGCAAACACCTGTGATAGGAGGCTTTGTTAGGGTTGTTCCCATCTCTCATTGTGAAAACAGGTGCTTGTGCACAAGGCACAATAAGAAAGGGGGCAGTAAAGTGATAGGAAATGATGGTGAAAGCTCCCAGCTTCAAGGGTATGAAGACAGTAAGTGCATTCACATGGGAGTGAGATATTTGGAAAGAAAAAAAGGAGCTGGACATGAGAGGTACTCTCAGAACTGCACTTTACAGGACTGGGAGCTCCAGGTGTGTACACGCACAGTACAGGGGAGTGAAGCTGTCGCTCACCTCCAGAGTGCTCACTGCCCTGGGGCTGAAGGGAAAGTGCATCACAAAGGACAGGTAGCATACGGATGCAAAGGTCTGCAATAGACACTCACCATGTCTCCGTAGATTTCATCAGCAAGGATGGGAACACACTGTCTTGATGCCACTGCGAGAGAGAGGGCATTCAGCCTGGTCATCCTGCATCCTCCATAAGAGGAGACTTGGCCTTTTCTACAGGGCCTGGCAGGGCTCCCTCAGAGCCCTCTGTACCAGGACAGCAGGTCCCTATCTTCCTTCTACAGCAAGGAGTTCATTTGGAGAGCCTTGTCCTGGCTGAGCCTGCTTCTGCTCTAACTTGTAGGTGTAGGTAGTACAGCCCCCTGCACTGACAGGCCAGTGCTCAGGAGCTGTAATGCTCCCTGTGATTGCACTCCTGTGGAGCAAGAGTGGGAAAATGAGCAGTCCAAGTCACACTGGGCATTTGATAAAGACCAAGACACACACTCTTCATGTTCTTGCTCACATAAGGCAAACCCTTCACACTGAGCAAACCCTGCTTCATGGTCTGCAGTCAGTAATGAGGAAAGAGGCAACCCCCAGGACCACAGCACTGCTTCCCTACAGTGCTGTCACATAGCAGGGCAGCCACCACAGCCCTGCAGAAACAGTGATTGAGGCACATGCACTGTGGGCAGACACTAGACTGTACTCATACTCCAGCTACATGCAAGCAGTCTCACCTGCCAGGATCTTCTGGAGGTGGCTTTTGCTGAACACAGAACCACAGGGGTTTGATGGGTTGTTCACAATCAGGCAAGCTGTTTTCTCATCCACCAGGGACTCCAAGTGCTTCAAATCAATTTCCCAGGACTTCTCTGGCTAATGAAGGGAAGAAGAGGGGAAGCACAGTGGAAGAATCATACATGCTGCACAGAGGCATGACAAGGTGCCCAGGGGTGCTCAGTTCATCTTTAAGCCACTTCCCAGTCAGAGACAAAGTGTTTTTGTTTATTTATTTATTTTAAGAAGGAGAGGCAGAGGTGTCACAGTTGCCCTTTCCAGACCTGTCACTTACCAAGAGGTTGTAAAGTTTAACTTCAATTCCCATGGACAGTGCCAGAGTCTTGTAGAGGGAGAAGCCAGGCCGTGGCACCAGGATGTTCTGCCCTGGGTTAGCCAGCACTGCCAAGGCAAGCTCTATCGCCTGGCTGCAGCCACTTGTTAAGATGACGTCCTGCAAACAGCACACAGGAGTGAGTGGAAAGCACAGCCACTCTGAGGATTTCCAGCCACACAAGAGTGCCCAGGCTCTGACAGGGGAGAGCTTTTCAACCAAAAAGACTAGTGTGGAGCCTGACTGAAGGCAGGTAGCCTCCAACAACTGGAGAGCTCAGCCTCCTCCAAAGAGGAGGGTCCAGGGCAAGGGATGGGAGCAGCAGGCCAGTGTAGGACAAGGCCATGAGGTACCCTTCTGTGCCACATTTAGGCAGGGGAGGGACAGAGCTGGGGCAAGGTCCTCATGCTGCATGGGCTAGACACAGACAGCAGCACCCTGCCTGCACTGTAGTGGGAATTCCTCAACTGGGCACCAGTACCTGGGCCTCCAGTGGTGCCTCTGGACAGTTGTAATATGCAGCCACTGCTTCCCGGCAGGACTGGTAGCCTGGGGAGAGAAGAACAAGACATGGTAGGAAGGCTTTTACAGAACATTTCAGTTTTCTTGCCAGGAAAAGGCTCGTAGCTGCCTGTCTAGCCAGGGCAAGCCCATTAGTGACATTGTCCAAAGGTGGCAGAGACCATCCTGCCTCAGGCCAGGTGCAATGCAGCTCCATGTCTGGACCAGGTGTGTCAAACGCAAGAAAGTCTCTGGGAACTATCAAACATGGAGCTCTCTGGAGCTGGCTAGAGTGTAGTTAGGGAGCTGTTACGCCCCGGCAAAAAGCCAAATGCTGTTACATGACCTTCACTGCTAAGTGGTGCCACATGGGCAGCCCTCCCTGTACCAGGTCCCTCACTGTCACCACGTGGAGAGTGTCCTGTGAGGCAGGAGTGATCTATGCTCTGTGCATGCTGTTTGTATTAACTGCAAACAAGGCCCATGTTCTCTGCAAAGGCAGGGAATGCAAAGGGGTCCTGGTCAGGGCATAACAGAAGTAAATTGGCTGCAATCCATGTCAGGGAGACACAGACCTTTGGCCTTCTGGATTTCTGATACTCTGCCTGCTCAAATGGCATGGGAAACAAACACAGCTATTGTGAGGCACTGGACCTTGTTGGTGTTTCAGGGAAAGCACTCATATAATGTCTACTCAAACAGATCATGCAGGAAAGGGCACTAATGGCATCTTGGGGGATATATGTTCATGTGCTCCTGTGACTACTGGTGAGGGCAGCTGCAGAGTGCTACTGTGGACATCTGTAGGCTCTACATACCTGCTATAGGGTAGGACCTCACATGTGCCTTCATCCCACTCTCATAGGAGTAGCTCTGTCAACTTACCAACAGATGGAGCATAGCCATTGTAACGTCCTGAGTCCAAAACCTCTTTCACAGCCCGTGTGACCTCATCATTTGTGGGAAGATTTCCAAAGACCGTCGGGTCTCCTTTTCAAAGATTGAAAAATAGTAAAAATCAATGGAGGGGAAAAAACAAAAACAAAACCAAAAAAACTTCTCACTGGTCTGTGGCAGGCACAGAGATGTGTGGTAAACTTCCATATCCCTGTGTGGTTCCACAAACTTTGTGCTTCAGAGCCCTGCAATCTGCTAGCCCCCATAGCCCACCCCACTGCTCAGAGTCAATAGCACTGTGCTCACCTAAAGACAAGGAAATCATAGCTTTCTTTGGGTTGGGCTCCACCTTCATGCTGTCTACAATGGCTCGGACAGGATTGAAAGTCTTCTTTGACATTTCAGAAGCCCTGACAGCCCATCTTGGCTTCCGGCCCTTCACCTTTCCCAGTGACATGCTGTTTCCATTGGTCTTGAGATGAACATCCAGCAGAGGGGCATGATCTCCAGGGCCGTTCACTTGGATCAAGTACGAGTCCATCCTGAAAACTGTTAGTAGTAGATGGGTTTCCTTAGCTTAGTTAACATACGCCAGACAAAAACTCTGCCTACCTGGGAGAGTGTCTATGACTCTCCAAAAGCAAAACTTCTGGAAGCTGCAGAACTTACCTACTACCTATGGACAAATCAGTCACCAACAGCAAGTAGAGCTGTTCTTGGAGCCAGGATGGAGTGAAACTGAACACATAAATGAGTACAACGGAGTGGGAAAGACAAAGGCAACACTCTGGAGTAGCCACACTACTTCTTTGCATGGATGCACTTGCTGTGCTGTGGAGGAGCAGCCCTCGCTAAATCCATCAGCCAGGAGTTAGCAGCACACCACAGTCATTGTCTGGCTTCAGATTCAGTGTTCCACTGACAGGAGGGCCAGCTGTTGTGTTGTGTCCCCCCACCAGACCTCAAGCAGTAACTACAAGGATCAGCCCACTGTGTGTCTGTGTCACATCCAGTCCACAGAGTACTAATATCAAACTTTAGATATCAGAAAAGTAGCTCTGATCTTATGTTATCAGGATATACTTGGCAGTGATAAGGTATTAGCTACAGACAGTTGTCTCTGTCAGCAGAGCAACAGGGAGCAACAGCCCCATGCAATGCTCTAGATTAAAGGGCTGTCCGTAGAAAATGGAGCAAGACTGGTAGGGCCAAGAGGGAAATCTGGGTAGTGACACCATACTAGGCAAAGGGCCTGTAGCCCTGCCTGAGGCTGAGTAACAAGCAAGGCACAGCAGAGGATCAGCTGCTTTCTAGACCTCAAAAAGCATGCATGAAAGTGGCTTACACACCTGAGCATGTATACCCAAAGCACAAGCCAGTCCCAGACAGCAAATTCGTTACTTAAGAACTAGAGCTGACTCAGGAGTTTCTACCTCCAGAAGGGTAGAGAGAAGGCATGAAGATACCTCTAGAGCCACCAAGCCCTTTCTCACAGACACCAGCACAGTGTCTCATAATCTTGCCATCAGCAGCTCATGCTCTGTCTCTGTACAGACTATTTCTCTGCTCCACTGAGAGTATTCACTGAACTGTAGCCCTTTCCTGATGGCAGTTGCATAGCCCATGCACTGTTAGATGCCATGCTCTCAGATACTCAGGGCACAACAGAAAAGGGAGCTGGCTCCCCTGTCCTTGCTGCAGACACTGATCTGGAGGGATTATATTATTAACTGGTTCTGGCAAGAGTTGCGACCTGAACAAATATCTCATTGCTTCAGTGAGGTTTGAACCCAGAGATGCCCCATGCTGCTACAGTTACTCTACCAGAAGTGCTTCCTTAACTTATTTAAAGTGACTGAGATTATCCTAACAGGGTGGTGGTAACAAAGAAAGAGTTTAGGTTTCCTGCTATTAACACCTTCTGGGTCTCCTTTGCACCAAAAGAAAGGTAGACGAAGAACTACACAGCAGGGCTGCACAAAAACTGAGCAGAGAAATGAGCAATATATCTAATTTCAACATTAGGGCTGAGTCCCAGTGCATGGTGCAAAACCCAGCAGAGTCACACCATGGTTCTGATGTGACTGGGAATTACATATGCAGGCAAAACAGATGCCTTCAGCATAGGCAGCGAGGGAAAAACCCACTACTCCCCCTGAAAGAAGCAAGGTACCAGACAATACTTTACCTGCTACAGCACAGACAGGGAGGCACCAACAAGCTTAGAGGTCCAGTCCCTACTTTTCATCCAGGACAAATCCTCTCAAGAGGAAATTCCAGCAAATTCTTGCTCATGAAATAAGCCCCCAAACTGGGCGTTGGGTCAGAAGCCGTTAGCCATTGGCTCACAGAGAGGGCTGCTCTCTCCACCCAGAAGTGCCCTCTCCTCCCCACTGTAACTTCATTCATTTCAAACACCTGAAACATGCCTGCACATTAACTCTTTCTGGGGGTAGCCTACAGAGGGACACAATTTTGCTTCTTGGAGGCCCTGGGCTACCACTCTTCTGCATCACTTCCCTCTGTCCTCAAAGGGGAAGAATCCCACAAAGCAGACCACAGTATTCCAAGCCCTAGCATCTTGTAATGAACCAAGAGAGAAGTGTTGGACCCTGAAGCCTCCAGACAGAATTAGTATGTCCTGCTTGCCTCAAAGGCCCTGGACACCCAGTGTACCAGCTGAGAAAGTACAATTTGTGGCATCACTTACACACAGGGGACATCTTTGTCCATAGGCTGAAAGGAGGCAGGCCCTTCCATAGCAGGCATCTGTGAGGCACCAGGAGATGAAAAGTTAAAGGAAGCTCAAGTTGCTTTTATTGTTGTTGTTGTTTGGTTTTGTTATTGTTGCAAGGCCCAAACAAACTCTTCATGAGGGCAAATAACACATATGATGCAATTAATTCTCCACTGATAGTACTGCAAAGCACAGATGATGCCATTCCCAGAAGGCCCTTTTTTCCTTATAGATGTAAATCTGTGCTTTCTTGTCCTTTGCCTGCTACAGGCCTGGGGTAAGTAAGAGGCATCTGCTCCCTCCCTGTCTTCCAAGGGCTGCTCCCTGCCACCCTGGCAGCAAATGGCTGGAGATCAAAAAGTTGGTCAGGGACAAGACGCATCCTGCTAATCCCCTGGCGAATGGACTGCTGATACTATTGCAGAGGCCAGCGGTCACTGTGATTTTGTCTGTTCATACCCACTCTGCTCCTGTGTGTGTATGTGTGTGTGTGAATGGGCGTTCAGCACATGCCCACTGCTCCACCAGCAATAAGGCTGCACCTTCCCAGGTGCTAACTGTGTGTGTCCTCTCCAGCCCAGCGCTGGGGCTGGGCGATGCTGCTGGGGAGTCATAACCTGCTATTGGCCACAGTGCTGCAATGAGGGTGATGGGGGCCAGGGACTCTGGTGCTGGAGACAAGCTAGGAGATGGTGGGTTGCAGCCAGTGGGTCTGGGCAGAGACCCTAGACCCAGGCTGGCTGGCAGGCCTCCCACAGTAGCCATGCTGGGGGCTTTGGCCATGGAATAGTGCCTTTCAAAAACATTTGACAGAGAAATGTCTTCTGTGGAAGCTGGCTGGATTCTCTTCTGTCAAGAGCCTCACAGTTCTGGATTGTTTCTTCTCTCCTTTTTGCTGAACCCTGACATGAGCAAAATTCAGAAGCTCAGTCACTCCCTCTCCAAGCACCTATGGGTACCTTTCTTGCTTCCCCCAGCCAGCCCCATATCTTACCATGTTGCAGCCCTGACAGAGTTAAAAGTGGTGTCAGGAAGCTTCAAGGACGCTGCTGCCTGTTCTGCCTAGCAACAACCCTGAAGATGATGCAACTGGAGCTCTACCTGACATCCTGCACACTGCAGTGGAGTTCAGGGGAGGGCATGATGGAAGCCTGCTGCCAAGAGAGAAAAAAAATGTGGCTCTGGAGGCAGAGGTAGACTCAGTTATGTAAGGAGGAAAACCTGGCCAGATAGGAGAAAGACACAGTGCAATGGGATCAGTGGGTTTCTGCTGCTGTTGCTATGCCCTTCTCCTTTCTCTGTATGACTCCAGTCCTTTTCTAGATGATCTACCCTACCCCCACCCCTTGTGCTACGTGGAACAAAGGAACAAAGCATGAGCACACAGCTCAGCACTTCATGTTCCAAGTGCAAGGTCCTGCATCTGGGCCAGGGCAACCCTAAGCACAAATACAGACTGGGTGCAGAATGTACCGAGAGCAGCCCTGAGGAGAAGGACCTCTTGCAGCACAGAAAGCCAACTGTATTCAAGGCTGCATCAAAAGCAGTGTAGCCAGCAAGTCGAGGGAGGTGGCTCTCCCCCTCTGTTCTGCTCTCATGAGACCCTATCCGGAGTGCTGTGTTCAGCTCTGGGGCCCCCAGCACAAGAAGGACATGGACCTGTCGAAACAAGTCCAGAGGAGGGCCACAAAGATGACCAAGGGTCTGGAGTTCCTCTTCTATGAAGACAGGCTGAGGGTGTTGGTGTTGTTCAACCTGGAGAAGAGAAGGCTCCAGGTAGACCTTATAGAGGCATTCCAGTACCTAAAGTGGGCTATAGAAAAACTAGAAAGTGACTCTTTATCTGGCAGTGCAGTGACAGGACAAGGGGGAATGGCTTTAAACTAAAAGAGGGTAGATTTGGAATAGACATTATGAATAAATTCTTTGCTCTGAAAGTGATGAGGCACTGGAACGGGTTGCCCAGAGAAGCTGTGGATGCCCCATCCCTGGAAGTGTTTAAGGCCAGGCTGGATGGGGCTTTGAGCAATCTGGCCTACTGGGGGGTGTCCCTGCCCATGGCAGGGGGTGTGGAAGGGGTGGGGTGGGGGTAATTAAATGATCTTTAATACTCCTTCCAACCCAAATCATTCTGTGAGACTTTGATTCTGATTCTCCAAATACAGGGATGCCTGCCCTTGTACAGTGCAGCAAAAGAGGTGGCCACACTCTGTAGGATGCATTACTACCAGTAAGGCAGTTGGTTGCCCCCTGTACCCCTCCAGCTACTTGCTAGTCCCTACCATCTGTTCCTCTTTCTCAGCTGAAGGTCTCCCCTGAAGGTCTTTTGTTGCATACCTCTTCATCTCCCTCTCCTGTAGTTTCAGCAATTGGCCTTTGTCTCTTCCCAGTGGAAGAAGAAACTTGGTAATGGCTTCAATGTTTCTTTGGTACTACCTTGTTCTGATTGCCCAGAGGTCTGTTTCTGTGAAGAGAGTCCAAATCTAGGTGGGCAAGCAGTTGCTTCTTCCTGGACCAGCCAGAGCTACGAAGGAGGACTGACAAACAGCTGCTTGACTAAGGCATGAACTCAAGCATCACTGCACTGACAAACCTGTGTCTGCATCAGGCTGCAGGCACTTCATGCACCGGTAGAGTTTTGTGCATGTGCTCTGCACTCTTTTTCAGGGTATACAGCTCCAGGGACAGACACTTAACCAGTACTCTGCACAAAAATTAACTGGCATCTATTACAAATCGCTTCAGTAATTATTTTCTCTTGTTTTGCTTTTCTTTTCATCAATTTCTGTCCAGTCTTTTCTGACACTGGCATAACCCTAACCATTCAGGGGTGGTTTCCACAAGTATTTGTGTAGCCTAATCTCTGTTTAGTCATTTCCAGCTAAATCTGCTTTTAATAACCACGTATGTGATTTTTCCTTGTTAATCTCTCACTTAGATAAGCAAATAGTCCTGGAGACTCCTTGTTTCTGGTGAATTTTGTGACTGTTTATTGATTCCTAATATTTACATACATCTATAATATCTACAACACTGCAGAAGCTCTCCTGAAATGCAAGGAACAACCCTTGTCTGTTACAGGTCAGGTCACATGAGCACTCTGAAAACTGCACAAATTCATAGTTAAATCTGCCTTGTGCATAGAGAGAGCTGTTTTGCCAAACTTGCATATATCCACATATATTAAACCATCACAATGGTTGTGCCTCCAGCAATCTTAATTGTCCAGCATTCAGCTGAAATTGAGCACAGCATTTCTTTGCAGAATCAGGGCAGAAAATTAGCTAAAAACCAAAAACAACCAACCAACCAACCAACCAAAAAAAACCACCATAAACTCAACCTCCCCCCAAAACAAAACAAACAAACAACAACATCAAAATAGCTAGGTTATACAAAACTGTGCAAATATTTAGGAGCCAGAAAGACAGCAGAATCCACAGTGACTCAAAGCCAGTAACTAGTAACTCCAAAATATATAGTACCTACTTTACCTACCTGCCTGTAATTAGGATGAATTTTGATTTGACCTCAGAAATATAAATCTGAAAAGTATGAAAGGCAAATTGCACAGTCTAGCTAGAGACACCGAATTCTGGAAAAGTAGCCTGTGTACAGCAAACGTTTTCCGGTGCCCTTGTGAGATGAGCTCTGGAAAGGGGAGCAGCGGCTTCTGGGGCCTGTGTGATCTCTGCACTTCTTCTGAAAGTGGATCAAGGTGACTCACACTGTGCATGCACATGGGGCATTTCAGTGGGGACAGCGATACTCTGGGTAGTCATTCACATTGAGGCTCTTTGTAGAGTTCTCTTATGCAGGCCTTGGTCCAGGCTGGAAACAGGTGCATTAATACACCTGCCTTAATGAGCGTTAGCTCCCACCATAGCAATTCCTCTCTGTTAAGAAAACTAGGGAGTGTAAAGACCAAATGCTTTCATGTCCATAAGGTCTTGTGGACCTCTTGTAATACCAATGTCTGCAACTGCAGTGCCACAGCTTGATGCTGGCTGTGCTGCGCAATCTGAATTTCTCTTCCCAGCCACTGATCACTGTAGCACTGGGGAAGGGAAAGAGTCCAACAATCATGAGGGACTGTGCGCTGCTCAGCCTTGGCCTTGAATCCATGTGCAGGACACTTGCAAGTATGCTGAAAAAAGCAGACCTTCCCCCAAGTTCATCGAGCATCAGCAGCACTGATGAACTACAGGCCCGGCAGCCACAATGAAGGACTTGCAAGTCCTCTTACAGCTGCTGCGAAGAATGCTCCCCACAGCATGAGTGCTATTGGCTCCAGCGTGCAGGCACTGCAAAGAGAAACACCTTGCCAAGCCTTCCTTTTTGCTTACATCCAGGCAAATGTTGTGTAAGTGTTTGAGTTATGACTTCAGATACTCGTGCTGTTGCATGGTTTGTTGAGGCAACTGCCCCCTGGACGGCCTTGAAGCCAAGAGGGCAGTGACCAGCCAATGGGAACGGGGTGGAAAGGGGCATGGTGGCCCTGCAGGGCAAGGGGACACCTTGAGCTTGCAGTGAGTGGGGTGGGCAGCACCAGCCACCTCACTTTCTTACAGCACAGGCAGGTCAACACCTCTCATGACTGAATTTGAGCCCCAGTGATGGAGGCCTGCCACCTGCCAATGGATCTGCTCCAGTGACAGCTGCTCTTCTCCTTAGGAAGAGGTGGAGGCAGTGTGTGGGGAGTAGGGGGTGGGGGGAAGCTTTTTTTTATTATTTTTTTTGTGTGTGTGTACATACCTAAATCACATCTCTTTTACGTCACATTAAGAACATTGCTTCCTGAACATGCCAACAGCAAACAGGGAGACCATAACACTCCCCTTCTCTTGACAGATTTTTTTACAAGGTTGCAAGTTAAGATGCCTCCCTATTAACAAGCTTGAAAGTTGTGAATAGACACCTGTTCATGCAAATGAAAATACTGTGCTCCATCTTTTTTCATTGGTTATCTTTCTAGAGCTTTCTTTTGCTCTAGAAAAGAGCGGGGGGAGGGGAGGGAGGGGGGAGAAGAATTTCTTCACATGTCCTACATGTGACATTTCTGTTTATACACCCCAGTGATGTTAGTTTTTTTCGCAACAGGATGACATTGTGGACTTGAGTTCAGTCTGTGATTCACAAACACCTCCAGTTCTTTTCTGCAGCACTGCTGCATCGTCATCATCGTGCTGAGTTCATTGTTCCTGTGACTATTTATTTATGTGGGACAGTTGATAAACCTGTTTGTGGTGTTCAGCAGCGATTGTGCTGCAGGTCCCACCTGCCTCACGCTGGAGAAATATGAGGCAGCTCACAACTCACCCTTTCTGCTTCACCCTCCAAGTTCCCAGGGAGGGCACTGAACCAGGTCAGAGCTCTTCGTCCATGGCGAGCCAGGCCAGGCCCTTCCCACCCCTTAGCGCAGCAATGACATCAGGGTCAGCCAGAAACAGAATTGGAAAAAAAAAGGAGGGGGAGAGAAGGGGGGAGGAAAGAGGGGGCAGGGTTAGGGAGAGGGAGAGAGAGGGAGGCCAAAGAAGAGCTAAACGTTAATACAGGTGCCCTGAGTTTCCTGTAGCTCTCTTCTGTTGGTGGCTACCCATTGCAGTGAGAGTAGGAATCCAAAAGGTGATGCTGACCAGGCTCAGCTGGTTTACCAGCTGTGATAATTTGAGCATGATGCAAAGCATTTTGTTAACAATTCTCAATATAGCAACATAAATGGAATAAGATTGACTCAGTTTTGCAATGCTCTGAAGTTTGTACCTCACTTGCTGGCAGCAAACACTCTAGTAAAACACTGATGCACCACCAGATCAACAGTATTTCCCAGCTCTGTCTTTCTTGGAACAAGTAATTCCAGCACATCACAAAATCTGAAGACAATTTTGGCTCAGGTTGCTGGATGATCAGCACAACACTGCATAAGAAACGCTTATTCCACCCCTTCTAATTACCCATAACTTGGTCGTTCATATCCCTTTCACAGCAGTTAACAGCTCTGCTAGGAAAAATAGCATTGCCCATAATCCTAAAATTATACAAAGGGTTGCTAACGACTTTTAAGCTCATCCTGTTTATGGCAGCAAGGAGGTCTTAGTTCTAACACATGAACATGAGTGATGAAACACGATCACACCAAAAGGCATGTGGCACGTGCAACAGTCTCACTGATGAGCATCTGCAGTCTCCAGAGCTTTTGTTCTAGGCTCTGCAACAGTTCCTCATTTCCTAACTTTACATCATCCTACAACTCTTTTCCCCCATCTGAAATGGGGTTGAACAAGAAGTTATTTTGTTTTGCTTCTCTCTTATCCCCAGACTAGGTAACTTTTAAGGCAAGTTTGCAGGTATCCTGTCCTTCATGGAATAGGGTGAAATGGAGAGGATGGGCAGTGCTGAGTCTGCAGTACTCCAGTTTACAGGCTTCTCGCAGTATCGGGCTACAGTCTTGTTGCTGCACATCGCCAGGAAAGACAAAGGACAAGGCAGACAGTCATGGTTCCGTGATTTAAAGCACCGATGTACTCAAGTCTCGAATGCTGTGTACAGGTCTGATTACACCGAGGGTGTAGGGGAGCAAGGGGCGTCCAGAGAAGGGCAGCTAACACCGCAGCGCACGGTGCAGCTGCGGTACCAGGAGAAACGCAAAGGGCTGCGACTTCTGCTTAGAAAGGGGACAGAGGGGCGGGACAGAGGCCTGAGGTGGCAGACGAACCGAGGGCAGGACGCCTTCACCAGCGGCCGCAGCGCAGGAAAAGCGGAACCTCGTGGAAAACTGCGGGCTCGGCTGGCAAGAGGCGCAAGACGGCGCCTTCCGCGCGGCGGGTGGGGTTCGGGGCCGCGCCGCCACCAAGGGCTGCGGGGAGCCTCGGCGGGACGGGGCCGGGGGAGCCGCGCCGAGCCCCGGGCGGGGCGGGCGCCTCCCCCAGGCCGCGGCCCGGCCCCGCGCTCCGCCCCCGGCCCCCGGCGGGGCCGTGCCGGGCCATGGCGGAGCGGAGCGGCGCTCGCGTCCCGCGGGCGGGAGGCACCGGGGCGGGCGGGCGGTGAGGGGCGGCCGCGGGGGGCCCGGCGGGGGGGAGTGGGAGGGGGCCGGCTCCCCCCGCCCCCTCCCCTCACGCCTCTGTCTCTCCTCAGCGCCGTGCCCGGAGCGGGGCCGCAGGGACCGCCGGGGAGCCGCGCCGCCGCGCCGGGGCCGCTGGAGTGCCGCCGCTGCCGGTACCTGTGCACGGCCAGGGGTGAGCGGGGCCGGGGGCGCGGCGGGAGCCGCTTCCGGCCCAGGCGGAGCAGCCGGCCCGGCCCGGCCCGGCGGGGGGCTGCTCCCGAGCGCGGGGCCGCCCCCGGCCCGGCCCCAGCGCGGTGCCCTTCCCCTTGCAGCCTGCTGCCAGGTGGTGGGAGCGCTGCTCGCCGCGCTGCTCCTGGTCTGCGGCTCCGTGTCCTACGGCTCGACGGGAGGCTACACGGGCGTCGCCAGCCTGGGGGGCATCCACTACTACCAGTACGGCGGGGCGTACAGCGGCTTCGGCGGAGCGGACGGGGAGAAGGCCCGGCAGCTTGACCAGCGTTTCCACCTCCTCAAGCTGCCAATTGCGAGGGCAGCAATGGCCGTGGGAGGGTCTTTAACGGTCTTCTCCTGCCTTCTCATTTTGTTTGGCGTCTTACGGGTACCGTGGCATTTTCCAGCATGGCTCCTACTTGAATGCACCCTGGACGCAGTGGTAGGCATTGGCTTGGTGCCTGCTCTGTACTATTTCTTCCATCATTTGCTGGAGGTTTATAATTCATCGGTGTGCAAAGAGAGAGAGCAGCTTTACCAAAGCAAAGGCTATCAGGGTTTTCGGTGCAGCCTACATGGGGCAGAGATTGCTGCTGGCCTCTTAGGCTGCACAGCTGTCATGGCCTACCTGCTTAGTGCTGGCCTGGCTGTCAAGGGGTACAGAACAGTTCGCAAACTGAAACAGAAGCCAGTACAAGTCTATGAGCTTTAGAATTATTCCTCTGCTCTAGTAATGCTCAGGATTTTTGCCAGCCTCCTTACTGAGGTGAAACAGCACATTTTTCTTGCTTGTTAACAGTGTATCCTTAATGCTACAACAGAACAGACACAGAAACAGTATAGTTCCAAATATAGCAAAGCCAAGCTATTCAAACTTGGATTTGCATTGTTGAATTATTAGTGGACACATTGTCCTGCGGATTGTCTTCATCTGGCTGCTCTCTTAGTAGAGAATGGCTGTTGTTGACTCTAGCAAGCTGCCTTTACAGGTAGTGCTTCTACCCCCTCGCTCAAGGCTTGTTCTCCAATGAGATCTTGCTACAAGTAGCTGGCAAGTCACCATAAATAACAAAACAGGAACAAATAGATTAATCAGAACAAGTTAGATAAATATAAACATCAGGTGCATATCTGTTTTCTCACAATTGCACGTCTGAATGACCATTCTCACCTCTTATACTGGTCAGCCACTGAAATTGGAAGAGAGCCTTCAATTACAGCTTTGATGATACTCCGAGTCCGGTTATCTCAGATGTGCTCCAACAATGTATTTTCTCTTAGCCACTGCTAAAACCATTTTTTTCTTTAGCAAATTTGGTTTTGAATGCTTCAAGGCTATGCAGTCAGGGAGCGTACTGTGCTACTCTTCTGGAGAAATCTTTGCTCACAAATGTAGATCGTTGAAAGAGAGGTTTAACTAGGCTCTAGGTTTCTCCCTCAGTCTCATCTAGTACTTTGTGTACTAGGACATCGCTTATGGGAAAATGTAGTACCCAGCACCTTCCTAAAAATAAGATAGCTGATGTTGATAATCTCCCAGCAGGTATCAGGTAGCACAGCTGGTATCTGTCATGGACACACAAGATTGAGGGAACTGGGCTTGTTTAGCTTGGAGAAGAGAAGACTGGGGAGACCTTACTGTGGCTTTCCAGTACTTGAAAGGAGTGTATAAACAGGAGGGGAAGCTCCTGCTTACATTTGTAGATAGCGATAGGACAAGGGGGAATGGTTTTAAACTAAGACAGGGGAGATTTAGGTTAGAAATTAGGAGAAAGTTTTTCACTGAGGGCGGTGAGGCACTGGCACAGGCTGCCCAGGGAGGTTGTGGATGCCTCATCCCTGGAAGCATTCAACGCCAGACCGGATGCAGCTCTGGGCAGCCTGCTCTAGTGGTTGGCAACCCTGCCCAGAGCAGGGGGGACAAAACTAGATGATCTTTAAGGTCCTCTTCAACCCAGGCCATTCTATGACTCTATGACTTCTGCTAGTGAACAGCTTTCCATAGCTGAAACTTCTACAAAGGATCTGTGACTGTCCACTGAGCTCTTAAACAGAGCTCTTAAAGCAAGGAATAAGGCTGGTGGTTGTGGCAGCTAATTATTGCTTCATATAGGTCTTTTGGCACTAACAGGGCAGTTTGAATACGACGTTTATATTGCCATCAGAGAATCCTTAAATAACCTTACAGAACAGTGAATATACTCAGCCTAATTTGTGACATGTCTTCTTTTCAACCTCTCTTGGTGAGGGCACCCTTTTGTACGGAATGATCTTTTATAAAAGCAAAACTGTTATGTACAAGTTTACTCCCCGAGTTGGGCTCATCAGGGAACAGCTTTAAAAGCTCAGAGAGGTGGTTTAAGACATGCATTGTTTTCAAAACATTCCTAACGTGTAAGCTGGGAAAATGACATTCTGATCTTGTATTATTTGTAAGCACATAACGATGAAATGTACTCTTAAAAAACTGTCATTGTTTGGTTGTGTTTTTATGGATTTAACAGGGGAAAGAAAACTAGCACCAGATTCAGATAATCATGCCTCAGAATGAGATGTCATTTCAGAGCAGTGCCCACAATGTGCATTATTTATATGAAGCTGGAACCACCACTGGTCTCACAGACCAACTCTGCCCATATAGGAAAACCAAAAATTAAGAGTCCACACTACACCGGAATTGTGTGCTTCGTCATGGATGTATCTCCAGGTTAACTGGCACTAAATCTTCACAGCTTCTGAAGCTATGGAACACTGCTGGAACCAGAGATACAAAAGTAAAACATTCTAAACAGTAACACTCCAGGTACTTCTGGGTTTCTTTGATTTCTCCTTTTAGTAGCCAGATGCATTGAGTGTTTCAATGCAGGGATTTATGTGAACAGTCCACTGTGATCCTACTGCTGATTTTGTTTTTCTTGCTTGCTGCAGTTACTTTTAAAGAGCCGTACAGTACCATTTACAGCAAGTTCACAGGCAGGATTCCTCTGTTAGGTTACAGAGAGCTGCCTAATATTTGGTATTATGAATTCCACCCTCACAGTGTTCCGCAAGTAACTTTTGTATGGAAGGCTGATGAGTGGAAGCAGCACATAGCTCAGCAAGGGGGACCCTACAGCATGACCGTGGCTAGCCACAACTATGTTTGTCTGAGGTATTGCACATGTTCCCTCCAGTGCAGTAACAGAATCAAAATATATAATTAGACAAAAGTAAAAATCTTTATTGCTAAATCAGCTGAAAAGTTGATGCAAAAATATTCTTCCTTCCTGAACTGCTCTATACATCCAAGTAAAGAATCAATAGAATAGTGTTTTCCAGCAATGTTATTCGCCTCTCCAAAGCAATACACACACAGGCCGCCGTGCTGAAGGTGCATTCATTGAACAATCTACTCCCATGTACAATAAGAGGAATAATTACAGCTGCATGCCAGAGTGAGATACATAAAATGTTTTCCTTATTAAAACAAAAAGCATGAAAAAGATTATTTTATAGGCAGTGTGCTGCAAACATTTTTTAATGTGCTGAGTCATGAGTGAAGTTTAAAAAAATGGTAACATTTTAAAATAGAATAAATGGGGAAAAAATACACTTGAGTCTTCAGGCTACCAGGGAAGAGCAGACAATGGCTGCACAAAAACTGAAGAGGTGAACCTACAGCCTGTAAAATGGCCCTTTGGCAAGTGAGGTGAAAGCCATCACTATTCAGGAATGTAGAAACTTCCTGAAGTCCCAGGGCTTTAGCTGTGGCTTTAACATCCTGTATACTAGAAGAATTTCAGGCCTCAAAGCAGCCTTTCCCTGAGTCAGGGAAATATTTACTCCTTCTTGGATTTTACCCTCACCCATCCAGCTGAGGATTTTTGATCAGATTCCAACAATCTGTGGTGCTGCTTCTACCGGGCCTGATTCAGGTGCTGTGAGCAACTCTGAGGCTATCCCTTGCCCTTAATACTCAAATTCTGACCAGGTGCCACTGAATATAACCTGTATTGGTTCCTTTTGCTGAAGCCTTTCTGGACAGGACAGGGCAGACAGGTCAGTGTCTTCAATGCAACTGTTCTGATTGGCCTGCTCATTAGGGCCAGAACTACTGAAAAGAGACACGCTAACTCACCAGCCTAACTTGGCTATGGCCACCTGGAACACTGTAGGTCTGGCATTGGTCAGTAGCGACAAGAGAGCCTGATGACCCCAAGTCGAGAACCTCTACCGGAAAGCCTGTGAAGAACGAGAGGTTCTTAGTGATGTGGCTCAGTGGAGATGATGCCATCTCCAAAAGCCGAATATGAAGTTCAAGGAAGAGACCTGGGAAAACACTTTCTATCCTCAGCTATGAGTCCTTCACTAGATTTTTCTTTTTCTTTTTTTTTTTTTTTTTTTGTATGTGTTCCACCTACAGCAGTGCTCCTCAGAAGCCTGAAATGTAAGTTGATGTTATAAAGATGAAGATGACAAAAGAGACGTCTCTAGAGAGGCTGGAAAACAAAAGGGGTTAAGTGCTAGGGATTCAGACTGGCAAGGATACACTGGATTTTCTACAACAGTGCAAGAAAGAGTCCTGATTTGCATTAACATCTACCACTCTCTTAAGTGCAAGGTTTGTCACAGTCTTATTCAGAAAGAAGAGTGTATTTCTGCATCAATCCCACACTGAACAGAGACCGCTTTGCAGCCTACTCAGCTAACAGACACTTTTGGCCTGGGCACACGTATTTGGTGACATTACCGCCAGTGAAGGAATTAAAAGTTACTGTCAAATATATTGGGATGAACCTTTTCTGCATACTTAAAATGAAGAGAACCTGAAAGAGATTTGGGTTTGTCTGTTATTTCTATGCCTGGAGAATTCAAAACGTTGTTTCTACGATTCCAAGAGTAAGCGTTTCTCTCCAAGTGAGGCAGACATTTTAAACAGAGTCAAAACTCAGGTGAGTTTAAACTTTGGAAAAAAGTGGGGTTGTTTCATGATTACATTGTAACTACCACAAGGTATACCCTAAGAAGTTGCTCTCATGCATGGTAAAAACACATTTTTTTCCCTTAGTGAGAAGAAATTCAAGGAGCTCTGAAATCTAAGTAAAACTCTATTAGATTTTGTCAAAAGATCTCTACTGTCAAAATCGCACAAGTTGTCTGCACAGTATTTCCTTCCAATCAAGGCCTGAAATTGATAAAAAATATACAATTCAAGCCCCTCAGAGCTCCTGAGAAGAAACTTTCACATTTTTTTCATAAATATAATAAAGAAGAAAAGGCACTAGCCCACATTATAGCCAGGATTATTGCACCACTGACATGACAGGGGAAGCTGCTGTCCAGCTCTCTGCCAGCTAGGGAAGACAGATCTGCACACGATGGGGGCTGCGGTCTTTTCACAGCACTTACATGAGATGATGACATAAGCAGCCAACTTACACCCTGCACCAAAAATCTTAATGGAACCACCATGCCTCTGCCAACTGTAGACTGGGCAGTTCACCGTTAGTGGGACTGTTTTAAACATCTCTTCCCCACTGCTGACAAAGTTGTTTTTAAGGTGAAATTTGTTCCTTTTCCATTGAAAACTAAGCAGAAACAAAGATGCTTTCACCTTGCTTGTGGCCAAATTGGGCACATACCACGTAACAGAGGTTGCTCTGGATTTGCACTGACTCCTACTTTTAGCTGCAAGCAAAGATGCTGTGGCTGATAATAAAGACAGTGCAGTTTATGTTGGTGGGAAAGAACATGGAACGCTTCCCCAGCATATGGAGATCAGCCCAACTGCTTGCTTGGCTAAGAGCAACACGCCACTGCTTACACCTTGGCTTCCTCTTAGACTGAATACCTCACTAAAACAAGCAGGAGTTCATGGTTTCATGATGCGTCCTCTGGATATAGGAAGCCTCTACTGTGAAGCAGTTGTGATGGAAGTAGACAAGTTGCTGAGCTGTGTCTGTGCGCTGCAGCTAGAAGCACTAGCTCTACATGTTACCTCAATCAGTAAGTCCAGAGCTGATCTTTTCCATGCCCCATGTAAAATGCATCAGTAGACAACCACTTATCACCCAGCTGTGTGTTTTTTCATTCTGCATAGGCTGATCCTATTATAATCCTCACTCTACCTGCACTGGTGCTCATCAGAACACCAGGACCCTGAGTCCTCTAGTGCCCTAACAAATACCCACTGGGAAAAGTTCCCCCCACCTGCTGTGGACAGGGATACTGGAGTGCTCTCTCCCCTGGCCCTAAGTAGTAAAGTGCTGGGCTGAAGGGGAACAGAACAGCTTAAGTGCAATCAGTAAAAGTGCTTGCAATTCATGTAGGAAACCATTCTTGGGTCAGCTTCATTGCAACTGGCTGTATTCTTTCAAAGAACAATGAAGTCAGGTGCTGCCAGGAGGACCTATGTCAGAAATATTCACAGGACTCCAAACGCTGCATACTGTCCCCTCAGCAGCTAACCCCACTACCACCCTGCCCCTCTCCCCCTCCCCCAGCATATTCCAGCTCCTTTCCAGCAGAGCTGGCAGAACCTCAGGGTTCAAGGAGTAAGAGACAGGTGCTGGAACACCTGCCTTCTTACTAGTGTTTGCACAATTTCTG